GGTAAAACATCTACGAATCTATAAAACTTACCAGAGATTAGGTAAAACCGACATACAGTTGTTCATTGATTCTCAGTGAGCCCTCATGATTTATGGGTTGAGAGAGATCATCGCCCCCAGCGGTGAATATTGAAATTGCTAAGTGTTTCGAAACAGTTATGATGTAATGAAGCCTCGTTTACTGAAATCACGCGACTCTGGAAGTTTGATACATAAATTACATTTTAAAATACATTGAAATAGCAATGTATTTATGTATTACTTTTTCATTGTATTTTTGTTCAAAGAAACGTAGCCTCACCTTTGTGAAAAAATCTTACTGACCCCAAACTTTTGAACCGTAATGTATTTTTGATCAGTTGACATACTTTTTATTAGTAATAAGTAAAGGCAGGTCTCTTCAAGTTAAATACATGTCCCGATTTCTACTGTACATAATGTGTAAAATTAAATGAATTCAGAGAATGGAAATCTGTCCTAAATATAATTTTTGAATATTTGCTGTAACCACAATATGCATCTAAACACAGCGATCACATTTAAATAGATTAATGGGGACGGAAAGAGAAAAGGTAAAAAGAGATGAGCAGAAATTAAGGGTTGAGGATGCCCACTAAAACCACACTGAGTATCTAACAGAAGTTTCTTTTAAAGTCCAGAACATATAAAAGGTCTGCCATCAACACATATAATCTCTTATATAAAAGGCCTGCCATCAACACATATAATCTCTTAGCTGAGCCCATTGAAAGCCAGGGCTTTGGGGTTAATTCACCCATCGCTCTGTGTTTGAATCAACTCCAGACTCACATTGAGATGAAAGCCCGAGAGTCCCACGGACGAGCTGCACCATGGGGCCCACTGGGCCTCTTCAACGAGGCCGGATTACTGCATGTTGGTCTGGCTGGGACCTCCATCAGGACAGGGAAACTGAAAAGAAAAACAATAATTAGAGATAATTGCTTGTGTCCAAACATGAACATTAAAGCCCCCTCCCTCCCTCCCTCCCTCCCTTTCTATCTCTCTCTCTCTCTCTCTTTCTTTGACCCCCCCCCCCCAACTACCATCACTACCTACCCCCCCCCCCCATCTCCCCCCATCCCCCTATCCCATCTCATCTCCCAGTCTCTCTCTTTTGGTAGTATATCGGGTGCAAAGAGAAAAACACACCCCTGTTTTGACAGCTGGGCAGGCGAACATAATTTGTGACAGCTGAACTGAAACGTCTTTAAACAAGACGGAAAAGAAGAAAAGGGGGGTTTGAGTGAGAGACTGCGGGGCAGAAGAGGGAAAAGGATGGAGGAATGTGGAGAGAGAGTGAATTATTGACAAAAAAAAAAATATTCATGCAGGGCTTCATATGCATCTAAAAGTTGAGACCAAAGTAGACCAAACTAAAATATGAGGAAAGAAAAGAGAAAAACAGAATTAGAGAGAATGAAAATTTGTATGATTTAAAACATTTTGAAAAATTAAAAAATAGTTTCACCCGAAAATCTCACTTGAACATGGTGTCACGCAAAGTTTGACGCATTGGGTTAATTTGCTGTTTTGCAACTGTGACCTCTGAACTTTGAGGTCTACGGGGGTCAAACTGAACCCAGAATGAGGCAGCCAAAATCATGTCAGTCTGAGGGAGCAATGTCAAAGGTCACCGGTGAGATCTTGGGGTATATGGTCCAAAACAAGGACCATATGTGAATAGATACACATTTTGAAACCAAAATAACCCCTTATTTTCCATTCACTAACCCTTATGTAGGCACACGCAGACAGACCCACCGCAGACATATTGCATCCAAATTGAATTAAGTCATAAATAGAAGTGCTACATTGATGCTAGAGAGGCACTGACGGAACATTGGCTGACCGCCCTGCGAAATTGACAGCGACAGAAGTTTTCCCTGATGGAAAATACTAATGTAAACAATGGAATGCGGTTTCAAAATATCCGGAATCCCAATGCTGCTTCTGTTTATATTTCTTCACCAAAACTATTCCAGTTTGAGCACGAGACAGAATTACGTTGGGAAGAGGTGGGATGAGGCCAAGGCTAAGAAGCCACCTCTGGCCATGGGGAAATATTTCATGAAAATGTTGTGGAACTTCGATCAGGTTAACATGCACGACAACATCGCAGACGTACAGTCCCCCTGTGACAGAACAACTCTGATTCGCTCTTTCCCTGTCTCACACATGCCATTTATTAAACACCCATCCCATAAATCGGGTAAAGTACTAATTCAGTACAACACCTTTACTGGCACTTTAATGTTCCTCAAACAACCTGCAGTGAAATCCTCTGGACCAACAAAGACTCTGTGAGGAACACGAGTGTCCTCAGTGTTTGTTTGTGTATAGATTAAACACCAAGAAAAAGTGAGAGAAAAAGAGACATCTCACTGATGCTCTCTGTACTAGGCTGTGTTTCTTTTTCCAGACAGCAATCAAACATCTGCAAAGATCATCTGAGCCTTATTAGGTTTCTCTCGGTTTTATTAAAGACAGGGACATGATTTCTCCATCAGATACTACCACTGGACCGCAGCCTAAAAAATGGCAATCAATAACCTATTCAGAACATATATGTATGGCTCATGAGGTTCATTGCATTGCGCGTTACATTATGACATTTATTGAGGGGTAATGCATTGAACTATGGAGGGCAGTTTTTCTGACCAAAATGAAATTCGCTTTGCAATGAAGAAGTATCTAAAGACAATCCTGACTTTTGTCCAGGACCATAAGTGAAATGGATCTCGAAACCTTGGCATAACTTTTAAACAGTTTAAGTTTTATGATTCCCAACCACAAATGACTTTTCATTACTAATTGTTTTCTGAAAAGAAGATATTGATTTAAGAAAGACATTTTCATCAGTTTTAAACAGCTACATTTTTCCACTCTTAACCACGTTTCCCACAGTCCAGCTGTTAATAATTCATTTTTATAATTCATATTTCTAGCCATTATACTGTCTCATGTTCTTTATCTGAATCGGTGGAACACCTGCTCGGTAACAGAGGCCAGAGTATAAAAGTCCAGACGTGAGCAGTATTAAAACCGTGTGGAGAGGAGGACCCATGTTGGCTCCAGAAGACACAGCAACACACGAGTCAATGGCTTTCTCAGGCTGTGGAGAGCAACTGGCGGCCAGAGTGAATAAGACTTGAATGGGGGCCTAGGGACTGCTGATAGATTTGCCATTAGAGCTACTTACCGCCCTCACACACATCAAACGGCCTGCACACGGTAAACATTCATTTTGGCACTTGCTATATCATAGCTCAGATTCTCAAAAGGTAGCCTTCTTCCGTCATTGATCGTTGCAATGGGAAAATTGAGTGGAAAAAAATGCAATAATGTGTGTGTTGGGGGACACTTGTCTCAATAACAGCCTTCCTGTTTCAGAAAAGTAATGTAACAATGTGTTCAGCAGATCCGTTTGTGTGCATGTGTTTATATATATATGTACAGTGTGTGTGTTTGAGACTATATGTAAATGAGCTGCAGTGTCTGTGAATCATTTCCTGTTTGCCATATTGATCTAATCATCCTGGGGTTTTACTGTCAGATGCACCCCAAACTAACTGTGTAGTGTGTGTTAAAGTTCAGTTAACGCATTTGATCTCTTACCCTAGCCATTCATGCACTACGTATGTATAACTGTAAGCATGCACGTCATTAGCTCAAGCGTACGCATGTCGAATATAGCGTATGAGTGCTTAAACCTGCATGGAGTAATAACGAGTGTGTGAGTGATGCTCTCTCTATCTGGGTGGCAGTACCTCTAGAGGGGCGTCTGGCTCTGCTAGCAACTCGAACAGCGGGGGGATAATTTGGATTTGATTGGTTTCACGTGTTTTTCATAAACAACAAAGCTCTCTCCCTTCGTTTTGCTCCGCTGTATTTGGCTGAAAACATGGAATCCATTTGTCCCCTTCTCCCCTCTTTGCTATTTAGCATTAGTGAGCAGCGTGTCACGTGTTGAACAGACCACCAGCACGATGGGCATCTCAGTTATGGTGACAGACTGTAACACTGGTAAAGGCATTTTGCAAAACACACTCAGATATAAGCAGTGAATTATACACATGTTCATGCTCTCTCTGTGCATAATAAAAGACATTAACAAGTCAGGTTAAAAATGTACTCTGTAATAAAAATGTCTGATAAAAGGTTTTCAAACCTGGTGTTGTTATAGGGAGGCCTTCTTTCTTTGAGCTTATGTCCCTGAATAAATGACATAGGCTGTATCTAGTCAACACACTTCTCGTTCACCTCATCCAAAGGTGCTCGGTTTGAAGTCAACAGCTGTGTTCGAAACTGCCAGCCAATACCGTTGAGATGAATGGGAATGCTAAGGATCGCTTTATCCAAATTATCCAAATAAAAAACATCCAAATGTATTTATCCTAATACATAAATTACAATGTCTCGCAGATTAGCATACTCCCATTTGACGCTGCTGCTACACTCAACTGTAGCTCATTTTATCCCATTCCAATATATAGTGACATCTCCAAGTGACATGCAGTATATATATATATATATATATATATATATATATATATATATATATATACTATTTAGCCTATTTAACTATTTAATATACAAAATATAATAAATAAATAAAAAACAGGGAGTAGCCTGTTTTTAGTGTGAAACATATCTTTATTTTTATTGCTTTAAACAACAACAAAATACAACTATTTTAGAGCCAGGGGAGCAAACACACACACACACACACACACACACACACACACACACACACACACACACACACACACACACATATATATATATATATATATATATATATATATATATATATATATCACAAAAAAAATACCTTTGTATCAATCAGAGATTTTGAAGACAGTATGGCTACACAAATGAACAGTCTTAATAGCTTTACCATTGTACTAGATTGAACAGTAGAAACGTAATTTTCGAATTCTTTAAGGAATACTGAGAAAATGGGCTTTTTGTTTGACTGATAAAATTACCAAAATAATTACAAAAGCCTCCTTAATAGCGTGAAACATGGAAGGGACTTATATTGATGATTATGTCACAGCACTGATTTTATAGCCTATTTTATTTTAAACATTTGTTTAAAGTTGTTGTTTTTTTCCTTCTCATTATTATGAATAGGTTAAACAATTAGCATAAGTTAGCATAGGCTAAATTGCATCCGGGGCCATGCCAAACAAACAAGATGGGTGCATGGCAATGTTAACAGATGGCTTCCTCAAATTATTACACATTCTTTAGAGATGCCTGTGTTAAACCTTCTTTATGCAGGGTTAAAGCTGTTCTGTGCCTGCTGATAATTATGAGTAGAAAAGCCAGACAAAAATATGCCTGCTCTGACCCACCTCAGCCCCTAATAAAAGTATAGGCTACAGTTTGAAATTGCCGTGTAATTGCATTTATGTCACCTCTGAGCCTGTGCAAAGACACCTAAGTGCCACTTCAGAAGTGCATCCGTGACACCTTTGCAGTCACAGTGTAAATTTGGCGTGAGATTGAGATTGTAAACCGTCCTAAAATTCAGACAGCCAGTGGAGCAGTGCATTCACTTTCCTCCTCCTCGTTAGTCTGAACAAGTTAAAATGTTAAACGTGTTCTGCAATAAATAAAGCGGTGCTCTCCAATAATGAGCGCTGTCGGCCACCCGCGATTTAGTGTGCGCAGTGAAATTAATGAAATTCACATTTCACTGCGGTTTCGATAAAAAAAGGCACAATACAAATTCTGGGGCACTGTTTAAAAATGTATTGGATAAAGCACTTTAGCTTTTTGGGAACAATTTTAACTGTTAAAAGTCAGCTAATTTATGGATTAGGCCTAGGCCTAGATACGTGAACCAAATAAAAAGATAAAAGCAGACCGAGTTGGTTGTATAAGTTATAACTTTGAAAACAGTGGAGAAAACAAAAAGAAAAGAAAGTAAATTAATAGATTTTTTCGTGCTGTCTAATTATTTGTTTATTCATTCATTATGCCTATTTTCTATCAGGCGCTCCACTCATAAAATGAATATTTCGATATTAAAATGTTGGACACTGAGTGATTTCGAAGGGGGTTGAGATAGCCAACCTTACAGTAGCCTACTGGACCGGAAATTGTATTCGCCAGACAATTTTTTTATTAAATAAAATGCAACGTCATAAATTACCCAAGTAGTCACAATGAAGGAAAAAAAGAAAAATAAATTTGTGGATTAAGGATTAGGCACATCATTTTGGTAGCAAATGGTAATTGGGACAACAAAGCGTCAATGGCAAAAACGCGTTTTACCCTGAATTTATACAAATATAAACCACGTTACAGACAAGAGACAAGCAACGACGCTTGAGTCTTATAGTTTGAGGCATTGCTCATGCCTGTTTAATAGACCTCCTTAGCAGTAGGCCCTGCAGTACCCGAATTGGCCATTCAATCCCATTTAACGAAGGAAGGTTGTCTGAGCAGATGCTATCACAGGAAGAAACGGCAATTTTTAAAAGCACCTACTGGTTGCAACTCTTGTTTAGAAAGCTTACTTGTATATTTGCCTTTTGTACAAACTGAATAAAAGTATCCAAACAATACATCCAAGTTTATGAAAAAAAATTGTTGTGGAACTCATTTAGCTAGGCTATTTGTTCAATGTAAAATGCGGTTTTCATGAGTTTAAATGTCAGTTGACACACGTTATGAAACGGTATAACCCAGGATGTTTAGTTTAAAATAACATTTGCAATTCTAAATTTAAAAGCCAATATCTTGGGTAAAGTGTACAATAAACAAAAGAAACCAAAGAAACAAAATATAAGGATGTAGGCCTATATAGAACAAAATTGAAGAAACATTATTTTTTGTTTTATTTAAGGTTCAAAGGGTAAATTATAGCCTAGATCATCTGAATAAGTTATACAAACAAAAAAAAAATTCAATATTTCGTCTGAACAGATGGGGAGGTTTATCCTTACAATTGTAGGCTATTTCTATGCTATAGCTAAAGATCACACAAAATGCGCGCGTGCGCGCCCACACACACACACACGCACACACACACACACACAGTTTTTGCCTATAAAATTTCCCTCCCTGTTTGCCATTCTGAACGAAAAAGTTTAAAATGAAACGAGGGCGGAAGGTGATGGCATATAAGTATTTAAACTAAGAAAAATTCACGCACCCAATTTGAAATAACTTAAATAGCCTAATTTAGATAAATAAAATTTAGATATGTCCACTATTTAGAATGTAGGCTACAGCACTGTTTGTATATTGGACCGTTTATGGATAAGTTGTAGATTTTTAAATAACCTTATTTTTGGCAGACAATTGTTAGCCTACTATTAAAATCCAACCCGAATTAATATAATTAAATGCAAATTATTAATAATTAAATTAAGTTTGATACAAACCATGCAGGCGGAATTCAAGAAGGTTAAAGAATATGACTCAAAAATTATTATAGGCAAACATAAGTAACAAACAATGAGCCGTAAAAGAAGATTAAAAAAATATTTTTTCCCCCCTTTTGTATCACATTGATCGAACTTTTTAAGTAGGCCAAATGATTTTTTTTCTTCTTTTTTAATGTACTTTGTTATAGTATAGTAGCCTATATGTATAGTGAACCATTCTGTGTGTGTGTCCTGAATAAAGACGTGATGGTGATGATGATGATGATGAGGGTTTTGTACTTTAAATCGATTAAATTAATTCTCTTTTCTTGTTTTGTTTTAAGTCGATATCTCATCGAACCATAACAATAGAATTTAAACAAATATATTGCTTCATATTTCCTAAAATGACAGACATGCCCTTCCAGTCAAAAGCTAGCACTGAAATGTCCTTTTACATCCTCGTTCACACAAAAGGTTAAATATCCTGTAGAGACATTTTTTTTCATGCGTTTATGGCAGTTGGACGGGGATTACAAAAGTAAAGTTATTTATCAAACAATTTGTCAAAAACGAATGCACAAAAAGGAAATACACCACATTCCCAATTTTTGGTGAAATAGTAACTTTGTCTTACTTCCTCACTCTTTCTGCCCCCATGTGGCCCTCACCGGACGCTCACGTGTGTTCCCAGGAGCCCAAGAGGACACTAGTGAGCTCAATATCATAAAACAGCACACATAGCCTGCGTATAAAATAATTTGTATCGAAACTGCAGTAAAAAGAAAGCTACATTTTTCAAATCTGAAAACTTCAATCACTTCAGTTAATTATTAATTATAAAATATAATAGGCTAATTATTAAATTATTATAATAAATGGCTTACTTTTTTTTTTAAATATGAACAATTATTAATATTCGCCCAGTATATATTATTATTAATGGCACTCTGTGTGTATATGTTTACAACATAAATGTAACAACTAATTGTCAAAAAGCTCCTCGTAAGCAGGTGGAGAAGAAGCGCTCCCTGCAGTACTCGCTTTCGTCTCTTCCTCCTCATTTGGGACGCCGTGATTCCTGCAACGAAACCATAAAAAAATGCACTTATGCCACCCATAGTATTTTGTGCACAAAATAACGCAAAGTTGCTTAGCTGCTTATTTTACGCTATTTTAGCTATGCTTTGCGTCATATTTTAGAGAACGGTAAGTGTTGTAACACGTTTTGTTTACGTCTGTAACTCATGTGTAGGCAATAGTTAGAAAAAAAGTTTTTTTTTTAAAAAAAAGCCGTCATTGGAGCACCAGTTTCAAAAGGCAGGCTACACCAAAAATTTTACTATAATGCTTATTTCTATCCGACAATTATGAGAAATAAAGTACTTTTTTGAATGTTAAAGTGGTTCACATTTGTAACAAAATTGTACAGCTATTAATTGTAGGATATATCACCATCTTGAAATGTTACCGCCCCAGTGACAGCTTTTATAGCTAACTTTTTTTTCCCCTTAAACGACTCTTAAGAAAAAGAAAAAAGGTAGGCAGCTATAAAAGCAACCCTGTAACACCAATAGAAAACAGACATCTTAAAATTTGTGGAAACATTTTTTTTTTTTTTTTTGGTTACTTGTTTAAGATAATTTACATTTAATATTGTATATTTTGTATTGTAATTCTTAGGGACTGCAGATAGAAACAAGCTCAAGCTAAATCTGGTGCAAAGCATCTTTAATTAATGTTTTTTTGCACAATATCCCTAATCAAATAAATAAACAAACAAACAAACAAACAAACAAAAAATTATGTCATCCCCATCTAACCCATTCCTATAGGCCCACCCCGTCATTTAACATGATCGTAAATCGAATTAAACCAGATGTAAAGTTATACTTCCTTCACAATAGGCTTTTGATCTTAATCATTTATATTCTTACACACTCATGCAGCCTACGATATGGATTTCAGCTTTTACTTAAACTTCGTTACTCAGTTAACTAAGCTACTCCTTTTCTCCCCGCAGCTTTTAAATTTAAATGAGAACTCCGGCGAACTATGAACCTTTGGTCTAATAAAACATCGGTAGACCTACCTAGTCAATCGTTCTCTGAGATTTGTTTTCATGGTAATCGAATGTAAAGAGTTTTATCTCTAAAAACTGTTTAGCGTAAAATTGCTAGTACTGGGAGCATTGACCACTAACAAGGCTCAAAATAGCCCCACACTAACGCAGTAACATAACTATTTTCTGATGGCTATTTTTCTGATAACTATTTAAGATGGCTCCTGTCTGTATCGTCTATGGTCTGTATACTCGAAGTGAACTGTCTTCATAAAGTATCTTCTTATTAAACGGTCTACACTTACAAAGTTCTGAGTGCTTCGTTTTGCATGTATGGACCCTCATTATGTTACTGCGTTAGTGTGGGGCTATTTTGAGCCTTGTGGTATAAACTAGCGATTTCTTTTGCGTTACCCATTGCTAGCATTACACGCTAAACAGTTTTTAGAGATAAAACTCTTTACATTCGATTATCATGAAAACAAATCTCAGAGAACGATTGACTAGTTACCGATGTTTTATTAGACCAAAGGTTCATTGTTCGCCGGAGTTCTCCTTTAAGTGCAAATTTAACTGCGTTACATTTGAATCATTACAGCCGAATGATTTGTTAAAACTTCACCGATTAGTTTGTTTCATCCACATAAGTCTAAAGAGTTCAGACATACAATTTCTTAAAATATAGCCTAGATATTAAACTCATCTACATTATCAGTTACAGTGATTAAGTGATTTTCTTTATTCTTCAATATTTGGTGTTTTACAATATGGCTAAATAAACCCATCACTTTAGATACTTACAACCAAAAAGTGATTAGTCATTAAAAAAAATCATCTTGAGCTGATATTAAGACAGTGTCTAGATAAATCTAAATTAATCTAATGTCCACCACCATCAGTATTCATCATAATACCTGTTTTCCCTTTGCTCTGCTGTGGCATTGTCGTATTCACCGGAAATAAAGCCGGGGTTTTCCATGGGATACACGTTGTAATACTGTGGCGGTGTGCTCATTGTGACTGCTAATGGCTGGTGACTGGAGTGCAAACCATTAACAGGGCCCAGGCTTTGGTCAGGTACTACAGAGGTGTAAGGTGGTGGGATGTACTGGACCACCGTGGCCCTGTGGAAGGTAATAGGCTGATTGAGTCTAGTAAAGACAAACGATGGTCCTGAAAGTGGCGGCAGAGGATCCGTTTCAGGTGTTCTCTCCCCATCATTCTGTTTGCAGCTCAGGCAGGAGAGCATTTGAAACTTGCAGATGCTTATGAGCACGAAAGTACCTCCGACAGACAGAAGAACGGGCCCCAGAAGCTGTGTCCACTCGTAGCTGTGACTGACATTGTAATTTGTCCACCCCATAGCCGTGAATGTCATGCCAACTAGGCCCAAGAAGACTCCAGAGAACAGTAGTGTGGCACCAGCTTTGTCTCCATCCGACACTTGACTGTCTGAAGAGGTCGGTGCTTGGCTGGACATCAAAGAGACAACATTCACAGGGGCATCACTTGGACTCTGGGTGCTGTTTGAGATGGAATTACAAACACCAGCAGGTACTGCATCACTTGGCCCGCCAAGAGGGCTTGTCCCCTGATTCCTACTTTCCGTTATGTTCTTCCAAAGATCTAGAAAGCTGTTATGCCTCATCTGGCCAGAACTGCACTGATTTTGTATGATGTCTTGAGGATTGAGACACATGTCTGAGGAATATTCACTCATCTGTGCCAGGATGATCTTTTAAGAACTTTGTTTAGCTATTTTGGACATTGGCTCAGAAGCTTAGTTAACAGGTAGATCATTACTGCTATGCTGGAAATTTCAACACTCAGTTATCATATTGGTGCGTGAGCACTGAAATGTGTAATCTCTGTGTTCCATGACAGTAGGAAATTTGCAGGTCCAAAGACTAAATATAAATGATCAAATCTTAAAAAAAGACTAACAAATTAACTGCCCAGTAACCGTCCTTTGCATAGAATAAATAGATCAGTCAAACTTGATGATGTAGTGTGAAGCTGTCCAAAACAACACTGGACCCCCTGACTTAAAACCCATAAAGACATGTTTAAAAATTATCTTCTGTGTTCCACAAAAGAAAGAAAGTAAATGATCACAGATCACAAAATGTTCACTTTTGGGTGAAACATTCCATTAATATGTCACCATTATCAAAACAGCAAAGTCTATGGCAAGAGGAAAATACTATTTAAATCAATGAACTAAAGTTTTAAACACAAGGGAATCATGCAGTTGCACTTCAATAGGAGCTTCCTTAAATGGGCCAGAACATAGAGAGAGATAAAAATAAAAAAAAACAGTATCAAAATAATTCTGCATCACTTTTACTTTTTTCAAAGCCGCATCCAGAGTCCTAATGGATTTATTTAGCAAAACAATGTTTTACTCAGAGCAGTGACCTTGCAAACTTCAACTAAAATCCAGTTCACTAAAAACACAAACTGTTACTAAACTTTGATGACGCATTTACCTAACTATTGGAAAATGACATAAGAATTACAGTACATGTATATAAAATAAAAAGATTTCTCACTACTGAACTCATATATGCATATGGCATGTTTTATTTAAGACTAGTTTTACCTGTTGTCGTGGAGTGGAATATGAATCAAATTTGAAGTGATAATTGGCCAAAAGAAGACTTGCTCAAGAAGACACCAGTATGGTTTGAATCTCCTGATGGTGAAAGCAAATGTGATCTTGTGCATATTGCAACTCACTGAACAGAAGTAGAGAGTATTACAATTCAGCTGGAGCTTCAAATGCAATCATTTACACCTCAATCATGTTTTTATGTTTTATTTTATTATTATTTTGAATTTAGTATTGAGCTAAATTCTTCTACCTCTTTGTGAAGATCAAGCAGGATGTCAGAACTGTCCCATGCAGAAGACTTTGTTTTAATTCTTTTTCCAAAGCTTGAGGAGACACCTGAGACACATTTAGGAAGAGAATAGATTCCAGCACAAGAATGTTTAAAATCAGCCCAGATTTTGCGCCGGACACACTCTTTCAATTAAGCCGAGTCCAAATATTTATGAGGAGAACATTTCCTCTTTCTCTCGGCCGCTCTCTTTGTGATCATGAAGTGTGTAGTATGCATGGTAATAACAAATGTGTGTGCTGGTGTGTGTGTGTGTAGGATTGGTCTGCTTAAATGATATCTTGGCATTCGCAAAGCTCAAATACTGTCAGTGTGAATGCTTTGGACAACCTCCCGGTAAGTCTTTGTTTGATTCGTCCCATTTTGATTCTCACTAGCTGCTAGTTATTTGCATTGGATGCAGTGATAAAACAAAAGCAAAGAACTTCTTCATAATATGACCCTGCACTGGATTAATTATTAGTATAGAGACTACATTGTCTCAGTATTGTACAAACATTAACAAACCTTGGTAACACATTTCTTCATTCAGCTTTAAATGATTAGCCACCAAATGAAATCTTTTAACATCTGCAATAGTGGCTTACTTTAGATTCCTCTCATCGTAATTTACCTCGTCTCCCCTCTTCCTTCCAGTGGTTCATATGCAGCACAATATCCTGACCGCACGCTAGGCTGCATGAGCATCCACGTCCTCCAATGGGAAAAGCACATCTGCAATCACAAGAGGGGTCTTAATAGGAATCCATTGCACACACTCTCTGTTCCTCCCTAGCTCTCTCGCTCTGACCACCCCTTCATCTCAGTGTGGCAGAATGTTGCTTCATGCCATTGTCACGTAAATCCTCCACAACAAAAAATGATTGGATCATTATTGCAGTGATTATTATGTTTCTAGCATGCTATATGTTTGGCAACAGTTCTTCTAAACCTAATTGATAAAGTGTGAAGCTTTTCATTTCTTGAACAACCATGTAGGAAACGCATCATGGCCATATTCCAGGATGACAAAGCCAAGATACATTAAATTTTGATGGTTGGGAGGGAGCATGGAAAATAATTTTCACACATTTCATAAAACTTTTTTAGATTTAACTGTGTGTGTGAGAGAGAGAGGTTTATTCAATAACAGTGTGTTCGCTAACTAACCATTTGAAAAGTACGCTTTCAATCTGTTAAAGATTTATTATGATTGATTGATTGATTGTTGTCTTCTGTCAAATGATTATTCACGATTAAATCACATCCAAAATAAAAGTTTGTGTTTACATAATATACAGTATGTGGGTGCACTGTGTATAATTATATAATTATTTATATATATATATATATATAAATACACACACATGCTTGTATATATTTCAGAAATATTTTCATGTATATACTGTATAGATTTATATATAATTTATATGATATGTAAATATATATATGAAGAGTTCAGATGCAAAAGCCTCTAAATGCCATTTGAAATTTTCTTCTTTAATGATGATTTTTATCAAACTTGTATATTTAAGTTCAGTAATTTCACTTAAATTGCATTGAGGATTACCTATTAATTGTCATTTAAGTGAAATTACTGAACTTGAACATATAAGCTTGATAAAAATGATCATTTTAGAAGAAAATTTCAAATGGCACTTAGAGGCTTTTGCATCTGAACTCTTCATATATATATAAAGACACACACATGCTTGTATACGTTTCAGAAATATGTTTATGTATATACTGTATATAGATTTATATATAATTTATATGGTATGTAAATATAAATATTTTATAAATAAACAATATTTTTTTCTTAAATATACATGCATGTGTGTGTATTTATATATACAAAATAATTGTACACAGTGCACCCACATATATTATGTAAACACAAACTTTTATTTTGGAGGCGGATTAATCGTTTGACAGCCCCATTGTCTTCCAGGATTATAATTCATTTGGAACCGAAGTACAAAGTAATCATTGGATTTGACACTGCAAACTTAGTTGCATTATATCTTTAAGATATAGGCCTATTCACAGTTTGTTTGTGACAGATGCAGTTAGATATCTTGTCCTGTATTATGCCTGAATGTTTTTACTCTATAGCTGCACTAACATTTGTTGTGGTGCTCTCACTATTTGAAAGGCTCATAAAATTGATAAAATCATGTCACAATGCAACCATAATTATATATATTATGTATATTTGTTGACCTGTGCATGTTTGGATACTAAATTTTACTCTCTCTCTTTTTTTTAACAGGCTGACAGATTGCCCATCTACTGCCTGGCTTTTTACTGTGACCATTGTGATTGGTTCCCTTCAGTTATTGAGCATGACACATTTGTTTCTCTCCTTGTGTCCCCCCTCCTATCTTGTTTTTGCCTCTGTGCAATGCATGTTGGTTCAAAATCAGATTGGTGAACAGGCACATAACACTGTTCCTCCATTCTGAGCAAAAAGAGAAATGGTACATGAAAGCTCAGAGCAGTGGAAGGATGGAACAATGGGCGGACAGGACCAAGGCAGGTTGGAGGGAATAAGAGATGCGAGAGAGAATAGGGTTTCGTGCCTGGCGAGCAGAACCACGTCATGGGCAATTTGTCACAAAAGTCGGGGGCCATGATGGAGGATGGTGACATCTTAACTCCCATGGAGCAGCCCCCACAGTGTCTACCATACTACTGCCAGCCAAAGATGAGGTAATATTGCTTGCACCAGATTACACCAAAAATATCTAGGCTTTGTGTCCTGTATTGAAGAGAATCCTATCTAATCGCAAGAGCGCAATGGAATAATTGATTCCAAGAGAGCAACTGCAGCATTCAGTAATATTTTCCAATCATCCATGGCAACTTTGTATATCAGACTGAAACTGAAACTGCTGCCACTTTCACGTCTCATGTGTTACACAAAGGACTCCCTTTCTTGTTTAATTTCTAACACAACTGGCAGTATTTTGCGTTTTTGTTCTTGATTAGTGGAAAGCACTTCAGAGTACTTCAGTGTTAATATTACTCTAATGTTGCAGTGTTCATCTTGGCTGATTGTTTTGCACAGTGTAATTTTCTTCTTTTTCTTAGAATGTTATGTCAGATAAAATACTACTACTACTACTAATAATAATAATACATTTAAATAATTATATTTAAATATGTAATGACAGGCCTGGTGCCACAAAGGGGGAAAAAGGGGCATTGCCCCCTTATTGTCAATTTGTTTGGTTCGGCCACCAAACAAAGGAAAGTCTGCACCTCCTCGTTTGACCACGGCATACTCTTCAGAGTTGCCATAATAATAGTAGTTAGGCCTAGTTTAGTAACTATCTCTGGCCGAACTATTTAAAAATAGCGGGGTTATTCTGGATACTCCATCTGGCATGCACGTGTAATGATGATGCAGTGAATGGTGACGATTCTCTCTGACCAATCAGCAGTCGGCATTGTTTTCACGTGGCATTTTAGTATCGCCTTAGCTCGCTCAGAACTTCGCCGGAGGTGGTACAAAAAAAGTACCCGAAAGCAGGAACAGGTACAACTTTTACAGTGGAAAACCAAACAAAGGCGTTCAGAGCCGAGCCGAGTCAAGTCGAGTTGGTACTGTGTAGTGGAAAAGCGCCATTAGCCATCGCAGCACCGATGAGGCTGCATGGCTTCAATAATCACCTTAGTCAACAGAGCCTAGAATTAGTAGTGAAAGCATTACAAGTTGCAGAGATGTCACTGGACAGATGGTACTGAAACGAGGTTTCTATTAAAACATCTTTCATCATATGGATTCTAGAGGGTGAAATATGAGTGTCTGGAATTTGAAGGATTTCAAATGGTATAAGCAAGCTCCTCGTGCACTGTTGTTTTGGGAGACCTACCAAAGGCTGAAGAGAGGGAGGAGCCGGCAGATGTGGATGGAGATCAAGAATGATATTAGGTGTGGTTAGAAGAGGAGGAAGAGAGAAAAGAGATGATACAGGAGGATAGATGTTCTAAGAATGGAGGAGAGAATAAAATAAACCGAATACAGTCAGTAGATGGGTGCGGGTGGAAACATGGAAAGATGGAGAGAGAGAAAGAGAAGCCAAAGGATTAAAGAGGAGTAAATGAGGGGAACAGTGTGAGCCGGAGGAGAAAAGCAAACACATTTTTAAGTTATGAAGGTCCAGCTAGTCTGTTTGCTCATATGGTTTTGCTCATACTGAAGAGGGGGGCGTTGGATCAAAAGGCCATGTCATTCTGTAATGGAGCATAAATGTAAGTGATGCTGCTCCTGCTCTCTCCTTCTTTAATAACTCAACTCTATTACCCCACAGAGTCTCTGCAAAAACACAGCCTGTGACAACATCCAAAGAACATTTGAAATCAGTTAGCTAAAGAGCTGAAAGACCCTCTCCTCTTTAACCTTCTAGGCAGAGTTTAATATCTGTAATATGGATCATCTTTGAGTGCATCGATTGGTGTTGATCTAGAGGCGGGAGCCTATATTGCATCATCTGACAAATATAATAACCATCAGGTAAAGTAGCCTACTAAATTTATGTCAGTGTTGTCCTGAATATTTAGACCAACAACACGACTGCTAACCTGATATAATTTGTATTGAGCAAAATTACATGTATACATGCCAGTTCAGTTGGCTATTTTTGCTTCGCCGTGTAAAAAGGTCCGAATGAAGCCACTGTTGAATTAACCATCACGAGTCTCCTGATTTAAGACCATCACACCAAGTATTCTAATTCTATAAGATTATGGGTGACGACACTGCATCTATAACGATAACAACACACAGGAAATGATCGTTACTGTTGGACTCGCTCACTGTCGGTCACCTCACTTTGAAGCACAGCACAGGTATAATAAACAAAACTTTTTTTGTTTGTTGACGTTAAGGTTAATATAATTATTGTTAAAGCTATCTTTATACTATTAATGGTAATAATTAAAAGCAACTTTGTCCTTCTTGTCGATAACAGTCAGGACCTTAATCGTTTTTTGAACGAATCACTTGATAAATATACTCATTGATCCTTTCTCAGAAGAGGAAGTCATCGTTGAGTGAATGAGAATCTTTACAAACACGATTTCATGTTTATCATGATTTAATATAACATTAATTAATTTGCTGACACAACATAGTGGAAGTCAAAATGTAAACAAAAATGGACTCAAACTAATGTTATACCAGCAATTCAGTTTCAAAAAGTAACGTTAGGCTATAACATTATGATTTATCCAACATTTTACTGGAAAAGGGAGAAAATATCAGCTCAGGTTTTGACAAAAATCCGGACAGCTAACTTCACCTCACCTCCCAGAGAGAAAGATTTCCATCCAAAAAGATTTAGTATTAACGGAAATACATTTTTACACAAATCTAATCTAATGACAATTTGCAAACTTGGTTTCCCACAATCATAGAATCATTTCAGAAATAAAAACATTGCATCGGTATGTTGAACGGTATTAATGGTAAAGTTACAGGCAACGTAACTGTAATAAAGCACATCTATTCTTACCGTGTGTCGTCCTCGTTGAACTGTAGTCAGCAGCTTTTCCACTGTGCGGAGAATGATTCAGTGAGTGATGGCGACGGTTGAAAATAGGCGACGGTTGAAAAGTTCCCATCCTGGGAAAAAAATACGTCCCGAGCTAGTCGTTGCTGCCAACTACTGGCTTAAAGATGTAGTCTGCGCACACACACATACACAAATACAGGACTAATACAGAACACTAATACAGAAGAATTATTGTTAAACAGGTTTCTAAACAGCATTCAATCCAGATCAAGTGGTGTAATCAGGTCAGGATTAAGCAGGTCTAATGTAGATGGAACTGTGAAGCGTGCAGAGGACTTTCCCGAAAGGGTTCATGAAGGGGTCTCCAACCCTGACATAGGCTACGTAAACACATAAAAGACACACACGAGGTGTGTAAAGAAAGCCGGATGGCTAGCACATGTGGGTAAGTTTTATTTCACTTTGCAAGGAGCATTGGAAGTGCAGCAGATGTGTTCAGAAGCATGACTGTGTAAACATCTAAATGTTGAAATGCTTTATCGTTAAATCTATCCATCCTCTTTGCAAACTAGAACTCAACCATCAAGTGCACAAAAAAAAAATGCACAAATAAATGGAAATAAATCAGTACTATAATCTCTGCCTGTAGCACTCAGTTAAGTACAGTTAAGTAATACAAGGTTTTCAAGAGGACAATGTGTAAAGTTTACACTGTAAACTTATTGGGGGAATATACAAACGGGATTTCAACTTCAGGGTTAAATTAAGTTCAGATAAATGGCGAAACCGTTTAAACCAGTCTTAGCTGGACAAATTAGAGTGCACATAGGAAAAAAAGTTCAGACACCACAGACCAACATTTGTCTAAAATGACTCGGATTAAAGGTATTGCTGCTAATTTTCATCTCGACTCATGACAAAAGGAGTTATTATTGGTTGAAAATTGAACTGAAATTTTGAATATTTCTGAAGAGATATTTAAATGAAACAACAACAACAACAACAAAAACAAGACAGACAAGGTAGCTTTCTGTAGTATTTCTTATATTTGTATAGATTTATATATTACACATTTATTACTGACACCAAGCATCATAAAGCTGAGAAACATGGTGGAAATATTTGTCAAAATTTACATTAGGTGAGAAAAAAAAAAAACTTTAACACAAATGTTTTAACATGCCATTGAATGTGGACATAAAAATAAAGAAATAAAAGAGACTGTTTTATTTTAATGTTCAAAAATGACTGAATATTGACGTGATGGCTGTAGAGGCAGCAAGAACCAGCTCGCTAACTACACAATTAGATCATATTCACTTATTTGGATGCTACATTGACATTGACGTTCACCAGTTGATTTCTGCCTCTGTACTGACACCAACACCACATTCCATACTGAAAACGACTGAATTAAAATCACAAATAGTTTTTAAAAAATGTACACAAAGACAGTGAGAATTTTGAATATAAAATATTTACGTTGTTACTTTACAAAACTGTTAGGCTGCTATCAAAGAGATAAAAAGTTCCTGGTGAAAACAAGACGCCAGTCTAAAGAACGTCATTGTTTTCCGATTCATTTAGATCCTTCATTGTTGGTATTTAGTGTTTTTCATTTTAAGGTACAAATGGTGTCTGCTATGGCTGGGATTGGGGTAGCCCTTGGAGATGTGGTCCTCCACAGAAGACAAGGCAAATAGCCCTTGTATGGGGGACAGACCCCCTTAAAGCACTGTGAATACTCACCACTGACTTCCAGCTCAAATAAAGACTAAATGAGAAAACTCTTGCCGTTGCTAAGAAGATGGTGAACTGCTGTGGGACAAAACTAATGAAATATTTAGAGATAAAAGAGCTCAAATCAATGCGTGGCAGTGGGGAAACTCTGGGACACTGCCTGCATTTAATCTTTCCCGTAACTTCCATTGGCACATTGTGCTTTGATCTGTATTTGGCAAACTTGCTCAAAGCAATTTCAAGAAACTAATATGTTCAGGTGATTATTAACAGAAAACACTCAAAAACAGACGTGACGGCACATTTGGTGAAAACATACCGTGTCCCTTCAAATTACATTTACCTAAAAATTTGGTAGTCTGTTGTTAATAACCTACACTGAAAAGTGTGCACGTTCAAAATTCACCTTAATATGCTAATATTCAAAACATTTTGGTCTGTTTATCAACAAGGATTCCAAATACTCACGTCAGTGTTTGTAATTAGAATAATCTCAGTTTCACAGTGAATTCTTTAGCTGGGTATTTTGGTATTATTTCTTCTTAAATTTCTAAATATTCCATCTATAAGGCCTGAGTTTACAGAAAACGTTTGGATGATATCTATAACGGAAACAGAGTGTGCTTTGCAGTGCACTGTTTGAAGGACAAAGGCTAAAGTTTAGGCAGTGTTTTCCCTTCAATATCCTATTAGGAAGCATAAAGAACTGAACTGGCACTTCAAAAATGAAGGAAAAGGAAAACAAATGGGGGAAAACAATAAGCAATTAGACTTCAATAAGCAATTATTTGAAGTAAAGAGGCACTGAGGTCAGTGTATATACTTTCCTTTTGCTGTTTAGCAAGACACACAACTAACCAGTAGGTTCTCTTAACAATGTTAAAGTGAAAATGGCACTAAACTGTAAAAACAATCCATAAATGTAATTGAAATTAAAAGCTTATACCTTCATTGCACATTCATAATAATAAAAAAAAAAATTAGGGGGAAACAATCAGAATGTAGCATACGAATGTGCTCAGCTATAAAAAGGTCATGGCATTCTAGACAAGTAAGGCGTTCCTGTGAGCATGAAGTGATCTATTGCTGAGGCATTTTCTCCTGTTTTTCATAGTTTTTTTTCCCTCCTTTTGTTCTCCTCATTGTCATTGTGACTGACTGACTGACATTGTGAATACAAGTGGAGAAATGAATGCTCAACAAATATCCAGAAAGATTGTTAGTGCAGTGTTTTTTTGTCCTTTTCTGTTTAGATATGCTGTATGTTTATACACATTTAATTCATATTACAAATTGTTAATTATTATACATATCAAAATAACATACACTACCGTTCTGACTTTATAAAAGTCTGAATAGATCAAAAAGTATCAAAGATTAAAGATTAATGATTTCATTCGCCAGTATCCTGACATTCCTCCTTTCTTTTCTTTTTTTTTTATTTTTCTTTGTACACAGTGTTTGATACTCAGTGCTACGTTAACGTGTAGTATAAAAATCTCGAATCTCCAGAAAGGTGCTTCACTGGAACTGGATCGTTCAGAACGCAGAGAGGAAAAAAGGATGAGAGGCTTTTCAGCCCACTTTTTCCATCCCCTCTAACAATCCTGCATAAATATCATTGAGAACCAGTGACAGAATTAATGAAAGAACAGAAATGAACCTCCAGATTCCCTGCATTTAAGAGTGGATCTCAGCAGTCAGCCATATAGCGGCCTGTGAATATAAACAAACATATATTGACATTTTATCTTCTGTCAACTATGCCATTTCAAAGACAAAATTACCTTGAAAAGACGCTTGATTGAGATAAAAACTATTATAATATAAAATCTTCTGGTGGTAGTGTATTTGGTGATTTGGTGAAGCCATAATCATTCTTACCACTGGCGAATCGCTTCTTATTGAGGGAGAGCCGGTAACCGGAGCCGACTAGTTCCATATCTACACCAGACAGAGTGCTGCCCTCGCTGAAGAACTGAACAGCCAGGGTGGCAGGGATGGATGGACCATCAGACAGCTCAAACTTTGCCCTCAAAGAACCGAATCCTGACACATACATACAGTCAACATTGAACTACTTTGTGCCAGAAGACTTTTTTAATATGTACAACATTACAACACAAAATCGCAGATTTTGACCATTTTCCAATTCATTTTGCCTTTATAACTCTTATATAAATTCCACTATTTATTTGCATGGGAAATGAGAAACAACCCTGTAAAGCACTTTATTACAAGCTGAGGGTTTACTTTTGAGTCCAATGCAGGTTGTGTGCAACAAACTTCCTTATTCTGATTCGGTTCAGGTCTTTTGTATGCAATTCGTAAAATATAGAGCCTTTTGTTTACTCGAGATACCTTCAAAGGAGCAAGCAAAGATGAGCATTAGCAATGTCCATCACATATGCAGGTTGATTTCTAATTTTTTCTTCTTCTCACTAACATTTAAATCAAATAAAACACCAACAATTAAAAGGACTAGCTAAGGTAGCTGATTTTGCACTGCCGTTAACACATTCTGCGACAAGAGGATGCAATGTTGTTTGTTCTGTTTGTTTATGTGATGATTTAAGTATAGAACAAGATTGTTTTTCACCTTAGTTTCATAAATCTTTTTTTTTTTTTGGTTTATTTTTTAAAGGACGATTTGAGTTTTAAAAGTTACATTATGTTTATATTTTTATTTCAAATGATCATTGGTTGACAGTGGTGTTTGTATCTTACCTTCATTTTCAGACTTGGCAGAGATGTCACTCAATTTCCATAATGTTTTACTCTGTTCTGCATTCCTAATTAAAACACAGTAACAATCAAATAGTTAAACTGAGCTGTGTAAGTGGCTCAGCTTATGCAAAAAATATCATTCAACAATTTGCAGTCAGTAAAAGTATTTTTTTTTTAAGAAATTACTACATTTAATTTGTTCAGCTAGGGTGAATTAAACTTTAAATCAGAAGTGACATAAACTTTTATATTGCTACAAAACATTTCCATTTCAAATAAATGCTGTTCTTTTGAACTTTGTATTATTCATAAAACAATCCTGAAAAAATGAATCCGTTTCCAAAAAAATATTAAGCAGCACAACTGTAAAATGTAACAGGAATAAATTACATTTTAAAATATAGAAAAAAAATTATACGAATTAATAATAATAATGTTTTTACTGTTTTTTATCAAATAAATGCAGTCACGGTGAGCAAAAGAAACAAACCAACCCCAAACTTCTGAAAGGTAGTGTAAATTGTGCATCTAATTTAATATTACAGTGATTGGGTCCATACTTCAGTGTTTATATGTATCATAAAATATTGCGTGTTTGTTTGCATATTTATGTGCCTACACCCTTCAACTCACCAGATGGCGTTGGGGAGTGACTGCATGTTGGTGACTCCGCCCGAGACAGGCACTAGCACCTGTAGGTTGGTGAGCACAGCAGGGGGCTGCATGGCCTCTGGGTTGTATCGGTAGTCCACTCGCAGGTCTGTAGTAGTAGGGGCACATTTCCAGTACACCACGAGGTTCAGAGGTGTCGACTGAATTCCATTTGAACATGCCTGAGAAAGAAGGGCCAAAAGATCTTTGCTCACCACCCGAGGACAATGGCTTATCATCAACCTGATTTACACAACAATAATCATGCAAACTAAATATCAACAGTACATATGCAAAATAGCTGCACGATTAATCGTAAAAAGATTGTGATCTCGATTCAAACACCCACGTGAACTTATTTCTAAATGACGATTCGGGTCTGACAATTAAACCTTTCACAAGTAGGATAATGGCAAACATTCAAATCTGTGATCACGCTGCCGCTGACCCAGAGAGAGCAGTTGTTCATGTATTGGTATGAAAACAGCTACACAAAAAAAACAGTCTTTCCTTTTCTAATTCTCTATAGAGTTACAATAACTCAAATTATCACAAAAGTACTGGCATTGAAATGTATAGTTTAGATATAAACACTGATGTCCATGGTAGCGATCAAAATAGAGTAAATATCCTGTTTTTATACGCAAACAGTTACACCAGTAGGTGGCGACAAGTGACAGTTAAGAAATATATAGTATACGTCATTGAATCATTCATTCAAGAGATTTGTTTAAAAATGCTGATTAATCCAGTCATGAACCAAGTGAAGTCTTTATGTGTCAAGTCAAGTCACCTTCATTTATATAGCGCTAATAGCGCTATAGCACTAATGCCATGTTTCCTAATGATATCTCCCAAGGGTGGTATGTACAAAGTGAACAACAGTGGTCCTAGTACTGAGCCTTGTGGTACTCCACACTGAACTTGAGTCTATTTAAAAGAATGTTGTGGTAAATAGTATCAAATGCAGCACTAAGAGTGAGTGAGTTGTTGAATCATTTATTTAAATCACTTTTTTAAATAACCGCAAATTAAATTGTTTTTAATTAGACTGCAGCAATTTTGTCAGAACCTCTAGTAAATTTCATGTTATTTTGTTTAGTTGTCTATTCAGAATCGTGGGAGAACCGTGACTTCTATTTAAAAAATAATAATAATAATAATAATAATAGTGATTCTCAATTTATCCAGAATTGTGCAGCTCTAATATGCAAGCAACTAGAAAAGATAGTACTAACAAGCTTTACTCACGTGTTTCTTGAAGAATTCATGGACTAACAGTACTATCTCAAAGGTAACAGAATGGAAAGCTATGAACCTGGTACTTTAGGATGTCCACGTTGTAATAGGATGCAGCAGGATTCTGCTCAGAGCTCTTCCTGAGGTACGCCGTCAATGCAGACATGTTCAGCCAAAAGTCCTTACTGTTTGTGTCACTCTGGGAGGAGTCACTGGTGTCACACACACACAAAAACATAAAGAAAGCGCAATTAGGACATTTACATTTATTAATTAACTTACATTTATTATCCACTGCGCCATCACCACCCACAGTGGATTTGAACCCAGGTTTCTCACACCAAAGGTATGCGTCTTATCCACTGCGCCATCACCACCCATAAGGAGCTCAATAATTCAATGCTGTGTGTCATTGGAGCAGCATGGAATAACTAACCCTAGTCCAGCAGCTCAACTATTAAATCACAAATCCCTCCTGATTTGAATAGTCATGCTTGGGAACTGCTGGCACGAACTCCCACAACAAGAAAAAGGATGTGGGTGAGTTTAGCCTGAGCACTTTAGCAATCATGATGCTACTACAGTATATGAAATCATGAATAAAGTAAGAAGGCTGTTGCAAATATAAAAAAAAAAATACATATACACTTGATTTTTTTTAAATTATTATTATTATTATTTTGGTAATAAGGTTCAATAGTTAACCAACAATGAGCAAAACATTTTTTACAGTATTTATTCATCTTTGTTAATGTGAGTCAATAAAAATCCAGCAGTTGATTGGTTGTTCATGTTAGTTCACAGTGCATTAACTAATGTTAAAAAATACTTTAATATTTTAATAACATATAGTAAACATTAAAATTAATATTTACTAAGGGATAATGGGCATCCAGCCGGTTGTTCTCTCAAAATAAACCCCAACAGGGTGATGAGGACCCAGACATGAAGCGAAGGTAATCAGTGTAATATTAATACTGTAATAAGTATAACTATTCCCGCTTATTACACGGCTACTTGCCACATAAGTAAATAATTAGAAACAAAATACTGATCTTACTTGAAATGTTTTATTAGGGTGCAATAATTATTGGGATATTTTATTAGGATTTACTTTAAATGCAAAGCTACCGCGGATAGCGGCGAAATCTCAAATTATGGATAAGAGATATTGATTTCCGATTAAACTGTTTTAAAATCGTACCTGTTTGTATTTTATAATCCAACAGTGTAGAAAACAGTCACAAAATGACAGCAGAGAGTCCATGACACTGGATGGCATAATTAAATAACTGTACACAAAATATTGATTCGACTGAGATTTAATATTTTATTAGCTTACCAAATGCCAAACATCCAAGAAGAAAAAAGTTCCTAACTATGTGTAGCGCTGCTGACTTTTCAATAATCTGGATAATCCATTAATCTGGGAATAACATACCTCTGGATGGCCCGATTGACAAATCAGAATCAAGTATTCCACAGAGCCATGTAATAACTAAGATTAATAAATGCTGAAGCTGTATTGCTCATTCTGTTTAAATATATATTTTAAAAAGTAATTCATTCCTGTTATGGCAAAGCTGATTTTTCTGCATCATTAGTCCAGTCTTCAGTGTCCCATGATACTTCAGAGATTTTTCTAAAATGCTGATTTTCTCATTATCAATGTTGAAAATAGTTGTGTTGCAAAATAGTTTTAATTCTTAAATGCATCCTTTCTAAAATAAAGTTAAATCACTTTATCTGAAAAACTGGCCCAAAAACAGTAGTGTAACATTAGTAGAATCAAGTTAGTATAAAGGCACACACTCACCTGTGCAGTAGTTGCTGGTTAGGCATAATTTGCTCTAATCTGCTGGTGTTTGAGAGTTTGAAGCTGAGTACAGCAGGAGACGGACTAGAGGTGAAAATCTTGATGATGCCGCTAGGGAAGGACAGGGTCATGTCTCCTGTGATCTTCACAATGCACCTAAAATCACATTTAAAAAAAAAATTATTTTACCGAGATCCCACTCACAAAGAGCCACTGAAATATGTCAGAGCTTAGAATATCTAGACTAATGAACTAATGAATTATTTTAGAAAAAAAAATTTTTCCATTACTTTTTAATTCTGATATTTCAAGATTTTGTCGTGTGTATAGTATGTAAAGTCTGTGTGGTCTTCGCAGGGCAGATGACATGAAACTCACTTGCTGGGATCTGCTCCTTTGAAATACGCATTAACCGACTCTGTGAATGCTACAGCAATGGGCAATGCATCCTGGGAAGCCAGTGTCACTGGACTGGGCCCACGAGATATCCCTATGCGGGAAAGGATACGGAGAAAATCAGACAATAAAAAAAAAACAGACATCCAAGTATGAATAAAAATAAGAGGTGTTCTGAGGAATATGTTTCAGTCAAGATAATTTAAACCTCAGCAGTGACAAACAATGACAGGTCAACAGGTAAAAGCCAAGGAAAAGACATCATCCGCACTATTTCTGCCATGCATCCTCATCAGCCACAATGCACCAGACGCACAATAGTCAGTTTCACAATTCGAAATCGTTCACATGGTGAGTCACAGAATGGTTTAGCAGATCGGGCAATGCAATTGGTTGATCAAGGAGAGATGATCATTCATGAGTTAGTAAGTTAGAACAAATGTTCTTCTGAGTTCTTTCACACTCTACCTGCCGGAGTTTCACATCTCTTCTCAAATGTGGGCAGTTTCCCCACAAAAAGATCGTCCTCTTAATTCAAAATGATGAGGAGGAAACAGGGCACAAAAAAACAAAAAAAAAACAGGGCGAGAACACATTTCACCAGTGAAGAATGAGGATGGAATGATCTGGTAAATGATGTGTTGACCATACGATGAAATACAATGTGTAGAATATATTAGCTTTCCTTACACATGGACATGAATATAATATATATATAAAAAAACATTCTGAAAGATATCCTGTATCCTAATAACAATAGAGTATATGAATGATGACTTTATTGTTTTAATAATGAAGTAATACATGCATTAAATGGTAAATGATATGAAGTATTCATACATTTTGTAAGCCTGAAGTGAATGTGAATTAGCGTGTGCAGCTTGTGTTCACAGGAGACTGAAGACTCACCGACAGTAGGTGTGTTGCTGGTGCTAAGGGAGGTGTTGGAGCTGAGAGAGGAGGAGCTCTCGGCACGAGCCAGAGGAGCAGCGGGAGGAGGGCTGGAGTTGGACAGCTTATGAGGGCTGAATGGCCGGCCCTGTAGAAAACAACCAACTGATTAATAATTCACTGCATTCAGGGGAAATCAGGAAATATCTTCTTTACTCACAGCCTCATTGATGTCCATTAGCTTGGCTGCTGGCAGTTTGGGCCGTGATAATGGTCTTGGAGGAGGGACTATGGCTGCTGTGCCCAGGGGAGTAGTCGGCCTGTTTGGAGGTGGTACTGTCCATGAAAAAAAAAAGACAAATTTTAGAACCACAAGATGTATGAACAAAAGGGGTTTAAAATACGGAGACAGCACCCTCTGAGCGTGATTTAAAAATCAGCAATGCCGAAAAACATTCAAAATGTGGCTATACTGGATTTGGCGTCATACAGAAAACAAACTAACAGTCAAATCCAAAGATTACACTTGATGTTCAGTCGCATGCAATGGCCAATGTCACAATATAAACATAAAAAAAAAAATAAGAACAATAAATTATAAGACCAGGTAAGGAAACTGAAAGAAACATGCACACTTTAAACCATCTTAGTCATTATGTTCTGGTTTTTAGAAAACATTGGATATGTTATGTTCTGACCAAGTTTGCAGAAATACATTAATTTGAGTAATTGTACTATTGCTTTGTGTAGCTGAACCAAAATTATTATGAAAAAATAAGACAAAAATAGAAAAATACATAGAAAACAAAATGTATTGAATAAAATATACTGTATAAAACAAAACAAAATAAAATAAAACCAAACTTGGGTCCCACATTTATTTTACAGTAATAAAGACTATGATGGCTTCCATGTGATTATTTGGTTACATTTGTATTATTCAAATAAATAAACAACACAGAAAACACAAAAATAAAATAAAATTTCACCAATCAAACAACAAAAGTCAAATCTTACTGAAAAAAAAGAAAAGAAATCCAAACAATTACAATGAAATAAAATAAGTTGTAAAAACATCAGGTTTGTTAAAATCTCCGTATATTTATCTCACTCTCATGTAGCCATGGGACAGTGTTGGTACATGCTTATGAAAACTCTCATTCCTCAATATTACCATCCTGCATGGATCGGGCTGGTGCTTCCTTTAGAGAGGGGGTGCTCTCCTCTTTCCCAATGCTGCCAAATGGGTCACCAGTCTCTCTGAAGAAAAGCTTAGGCTGTTGAGACACGGGCACTGACCGAGGTCTCGCTGGTTGATGGGATGGTCCACGACATGGCACAAAAGCATCATTGAAGGCAATCCATTGGCTCTGGGCCCAGGCTGAAAGTGTGTCTGGACCAGCGATGGGAGCACTGAGAGGGGGCTTGTGGGTAGCGTAGTCCTTAGGAAGAGCTTGTAGGGCTGGAGGTACGCTCAGAGCTCGAGTCGGGCCAGGGCGGAGGGGGGCAACAGCCTCGTTGGGGAGAGGGGTGGAGGGAGGAAAGGGGAGAACAGGGAATGACGGGGTGCACGGCTTGGCGAGACTGGCAGGAGAAGGGAGTTTGGAGGGAACAGGCAAAGCAGGAGGCTCGGTAACATCAAGACTGATTGCTGAAGGAGAGGTGGGCCCCGACTGTAAATCCACTTCTGTTACGGGGTCATCAGAGAGAAAAGAGTAATGATGCTTGTAAAAATGAACCATACTGTATACTGACAGGCATGCTGAAAAGACTACATGGAAAAAAATATGACAGAAACACAGATGACCTGGATATGTATGCAGAGGATGTACTTTGTTCTCTTAATCTGAATGTGTAATACAGCTCAATATTTCACATAATTACATTAAGTAAACGGGAGGGAAAGCCTTTTTTAAATGATCAGTGAAAATTATATATATATATATATATATATTAATTATAATATTTATAATATTATAATTATATTAAATATATATTATATATAATATATATAATATAATATTAATATATAGAATACAATTATAAAACAATAAAATGAATACATTAAAATAATTAAAATATAAATATAATGAAAAATAATTTAAAGTAAAACAAAACATTATTAGTGTACATTAAAAAAATACAATGGAAAAATAATATTCAAAATATTGTGGAATCCTACAGAAATATGTATTTAAACATATTTTTAAACATACTGTAATGTGGTATTCTTAAGCAAATAATCAGCTAACCTTCATGCACTCGTTAGTCTTTACAAATACAAATACAAAAAAACATTAATAAATAAAATAATGACATACACGGAGGGCAAAAGGATATAAAATTGTTAAATGGTGTCGGTGTGTAAATTCTGTCATCATTTTGTTTCAACTCTTATAACGTTCCCATCATAACTTTGTTTCACACAAGAGTAAGTAAATGATTATACATTTATAATTATTTATAATCATATAGTACAATAAAGTGTGTCTCTGTCCTTATCTTCTGTGTGCAGAAAATGTAAAAAAAACAAAAAACTTATTTTCACAGATTCATCTCTAAGAAATATTAGGATCTTTAGCTGGGGGTGAGCTCAAGCAAAACATTCCTCTCATCATTCACATTTTTGTATATTTCTTTGCCATTAGGGTCAGTGTCTGTTATGGGAAAAGTTCTATTCTGACGATCAAACTGCAGGCATAGGTTATAAGCATTACCTGGGTCTTCAAAAACCTCATCATTTAACTGCAGTGGGGGAGATGTAGGGAAAGATGTTAAGAAGAGAGAAGCCAGGTCTAAGAAAAAGAGCATTGAACAAAAACAAACCAAGGATGAGAAAAAAAAAAGAAAGAAAAGAAGACAATGTAAATGAGGCTCAGTTAAAACATATGAAGGCGTGGAAAAAATAAAATACTCAAAAGCTAATCAAAAACACCTAAATAGCACACATAATTTTTAATAAAATGCAAGTGCAATTCTTTGCTACGTTACTATTATCCTCTTCACAGCTCTTTTTGTTCATTTGCCAGGTCAGAACTATAACAAGATGATGTTTGACAACATCTGTGACACGGGGACTCTAAACTCCGCCCTCTGACCGTGCCAATTAACTTTGGATTATGATTGGCCCTCGTGGATAAGGTCAGAGCTTGAATGACGGGTTGGATTTTTATGGTGACTGCATTATCAGAGAGAAAAGCACTCACTTGTTTGCAAACAACGCCTTAATGTCAAACTAAAATATACCCACAATATTTCTTCCAAAATAAAGTATAACAATAATATAAATAGTAAATAAAAACTAAATTCTGAAATATTTCCAACAAAATAATTCAAATCAACAACTAAAAATAAATTTGCATATATTACATACATATACTGTTAAAACTACTTTGCACCTGCACCTTTTGCTAACGTACAGTACATCTAAAAGATAATATTTAAATTCAGTCAAAACCACATACTGTCAACTGCACTATTGGCCAAGATATAGAAGCTGCTAATGATGTCAAAATAACATTTCATTTCAACAATCAAGGTCAAGAGCTTCCAGAGAGAGACTGAGATGAGGGTAGAGCGTGAGGAAACACTGACCGTACTCACGGAATACACACAGGAATCTTATTCATGACTTAAGGTCCAATGCATGAGTAAATCGCACATAAAACCCATTCTTAAGTAAAACTGACATTTAATTCAATGGGAAATTGTATGTATGCACGGATTAACAGCATGGACGATTTACAAAAAAAAATAATAGAACCTATCACAAATAAAACCTAGGGTGTGTAAAACACTGTAGTAAAAAATGGGGAAGAATGAAGAGACTACGCAAACAGCATTTCTCCAATAATAAGTCAAGAAATTCAATTATCAGCAAATAATTTCGATATTTTTGAAATTCCTGTTATAATATCAGAATGCAAAAAACAAAAGTTAACAAAAATAGACTAAACAAGCAAACAAAAAAAAAAAAACACGTTTTTCCCATGGCATTCACAAAAGAAGTCGCAGGATAGATTGAGTGAGATATGAAGTGGCTGTGGGATATGAGGGTTTCCGTGACAACAGCAGCCTGAGCAAGCTCTCTAGAGGCGACTGTAGTGGACTGGAAAAGCCCAGACACTTTCCCCAGCCTGTAAGCATCATCAATAATAAAGGAGGTCAGACCTAAGACAAGCCTCCCAGAGACTGGGGGATGGAGGAGGTGTAGGGGGTGAATGACTTACGACTGTCTGCTTGTACAGTGTGTGTGTGTGTGTGTGTGTGTGTGTGGTCGGTAAAGAATGTTTTGACTCCATCACTGCCAAGCTGAAATCTGCCATTGAGATTATTTTAGATGTTAACCAATAATTTACTGAAATATGATTGTACTTTAATATACATTTTGTGAAGCTCGGAGATATAAGGAAAAAGACCATTGGGATTTGGATTTATAATTGATGTCTAACAACAACAGTTCACTGATGTAGTAAGGACATTAATACAGAGCTGTACCCAGAAGTATTTGCAGAATTACCTGACGAGTGGGGTAGAGACGAGCTGGAGCCGGTGCTGGTCGGGCCAAACGGATCCAAAGACAGCAGGTCATTACTGGATAATCTACTGTTTGGAGGGGTTAAAAAAAGTTGTACAACATAGTGCATAAATGGTTACACTTTTGATAAAAAAAGAGAAAACAAATAAAGGTTAACAGCAGAATTTATCTTACTCATTAAAGGATGGCTGTGGTATCCTGTGTCGTGTCAGTTCATCGCCTGTAGATCAATCAGAAAATATGCAACTGAGTAACGGAGCAACTCTTCAGGTTTTATTTGGGATCTGCTGGTGGCCGGTTGCATAAACTGCTTTGACTAGTCTTAAAAGTTAGTATTCTAATTTTAACTTCTAAAAATCAAGGTAGAATGGTCTAATTTGAATCTAATTTGTCAACTAGTTCTTACAACAGTCTTAACATAGTGGCTAAGTTTATGCAACTGGAGCCTGTTGCAAGAAACCCCTTTAATTCAGTCTATAAATGCATCTTTCTTAACTTAGGGGGTTCTTGTAACTGGGCACTGCTCATTAGGTCCCGATTAAAAATGCAGCTCATGTGTTTCATGAAGTAAATATGATGTTATCAAATGAAATACTAGATTGTTGCATGTAAAAAATAAAAACCTACATGGAAGCCCATGGAAAGCTACAATAGTCACTAATGTTTCTGACCATTAAGTGCCATGTTAGTAGAGGACTTTGCTACATGAGACACATGTCCATGCAACCCCATTTGTCACACCAAATACATACATTTAAAATCGCAATAAATGATTGGCATAGTACATTGGAAATGGTATGTATTTGAGATCAAATACCAACGACATACAGTATTATACAAAAAGGACAAATGACAGTGTTAAAAGACAACAGCATAAATTAGTAATGCTCATTTTTGAACAAATTATTAATTTAGTAATTTGCACATTTAGTTTTTCATTTTTACTAGCACACTCCACAGGAATCCCTCATTCCCACCAACACAAATGCAGCTGCGGACCAAAATAGAGCGAGTAGTACGCTGACTTCCGGGGGAATACTCACCTGTCTTTGGATTTACAGAAGGGAATGTGTGTTGTCGTGTCATTCCTAAAGTGAGTATGTTTGAGATCCACATTTACAATAACATTCAATTCTGAATATTCTTCAGTTTATTCTATACGCCCATTTGTATGTCTGTTATATGCCTAGTTTCTGGGCACATATTACCGGTAAAATTTAAACAGTAAAGAATACGAGACACACGTCAGGTTTTGAACTGAGAGTAACACTATATCGCTACATCTATAATCGCTACATTTGATATTACCATATTGGAAATTGGCCGATGGTACACCTTTTATTTTATTTTAACAGTGTCAGATGAAATTGGATATTTAACTGTGCACATTTACTTTACCTTTGCCATCATCCAATGCTCAGTAAAGTTTAATCTTTAAAAACACCTAATAATTTAATAACAATGTTAAAGGGGGTTAAAATGTTATGCCCTTTTATGAAGTCTTGATTTTGTGTTCATGGTGTACTTGAATGTTTTCATGCTTGATTGTTCAAAAAACACATTATTTTTCACATATTTCACATTAATACGGTCCCTCTTTCCCCAGTCTGGCTCGAACACGCCGATTTCGATAAAACCCCTGCTTCCAAAATATGAAATGTGCTGTGATTAGCGCCGCTTGTTCGGGAAAAGTGATTCTCTAGCACAAATATTAAAGTTATTTCAAACTTCCACTTCGAGCCTGATTCAGACCCTGACAATGTTAATGAACAAGAGGATTGTGCAGAACGGATTTCACAGGATGGTTCAGAGTGGTATGTTTTTTGTAATTTTCTTATACATTATAGATAAGATGCTATCCACCATTTAATCGTGATATTTTTCGGAAAACTAAGATAATCCAAACAGTAATCGATCACTAAACCATGATTCATTTTCCTAAGGCGAGAGCTTAAGCAACAGAAAACAAGCTGTTCTTGCTGCACAAAACGTGCAGTGCACAGATAAACTTTTGGGCTTTAATGCCCAGGAACAGAAAGTTTGTAAGCCCTAGTAAGGTCAAACAAATTAATTTTGGAAAATTGTTGTGGGGAAAAAAACAGCGCCTCTTCAACATAGCGACAACACTGTCTTCTCTAATGCAGCTCAGCCAGGCTTTGTCTCCCTTTTTGAGTATTCTGTGGGTGGAGATTATTTAAATGAGGAACATTATGACTTCATAAGATCCGGAAAAATTGCATTGTAGTTCAAAAGAGCAATAAAACATCTCCCTTTGGAGTTGACTTTGAGCTTTGAAACCTTGCAGATCTTTTTCATGCTCAAACAAAAAATTGGAAAAGCATAATAGGACCCCTTTAAATATAGTCTTTAGGAAATTTCAAAATGAATATACATTTTTAATAAATAATGTCATAAATTCATGTCACTTGTAGCGTTTTAGTTACATTTTTTTTTAATTCTGTCCAACAACATTAAGCCTAATTCGTGTTGAACACAAAATCAAATTGTAAATTGGATTAAACAAGTTTCCCTAAACATATAGAGAAAGAATACTTATAATAGCATCTTAGTGTGATTTAAGATAAAACACAACATGAATTGGATTAAAGGACTTATCGGATAAAATGATCTGCCAGATTTGATCAATTTCAGCACGTAAAGGAGGCTGTGGTAAATGCGCTCTTTGAAGAAATGTTTACCGTTTCAGTGCAAGACTAACAAAACGTTTCTACTGTGATCTCAATTACTATGTCTTAAGGATTGAAGGTATGCAAAACTTTCCTAGGAGGTTCAAATTGTCGCTCTTGATGTGAGAACATGCCGCAGTGTAAACACTACGTTCTGGCATGCATCTGTGTTCGTTTAAGCCACAATTTACTGGAAAAATGTAAAATTATGATGGATAGAAAAACATAAACACACAATTAAGCAGTTAATCTTGCTCATGGCTTAAGGAGGCAACGCTGTGCTACTCAGATGAGGAAAAAATGGGAGAATATGTTTATTTTCTCATGGGATGAGTTGGCTTTGGAGGGGTCACCAGAGCAACATGAAGGAGGCTCGGCGAGAAACGTCATGGCCAAGAAAAACGAAAAAGAGAAGTCAAAATGATAGGCGCTCTCCAGAGCCAAACCTTCAGAGTGACATAGGGATGGAGGAAGGACGAAAAAAAAAAATTAAAAAAGGAATACTCACTGGACTGGTTCTTCTTCATATGAACCTGGAAATGAAAACAGGCTTTTATTAATGAGAGTGAGAGGAGTTATGAAAACAGCTGAAGACATGAAGTGCTTCATCCCCACATTCATTCAATGGATATTGGCCTCACAGGACGAAAAGCACACACACACACACAAGTACGAGCAGAGAAACAGACTAGTGAGAATACATATTTAAACCATCAGTTCAGAAACAATATTCTGCAGGCGGTCTAAACATGAGGAAATGAGTGGCAGATAATTCAACCAAATTCACTACCGGGATTGTTTTGGAGGCTGAGAAATGTCAACAAGAGTCATCTAGCAAAACAGCAATAAATGCACAAAGATGGGCTTGGTTTATTGTGCATTCAAAGTGACTCATATTAAGCATATCTGGAGGAGACTCGGATGGAAAATAATTTCACTTGGTGTTTCGATGAAAAGTAACACATCAGAAAAGCAATATATAGACCGTAAAGGAAACTAAACTGTGAAGGAAAAACTTGTGGGAAAACACAAATACACATGCATGCATAAGGAAAAGCGAAGGCATGGTTCAGTCCCATAGGCAGAGACTGGCAAATGGGTTCAATTACAGCACACAGGCCACACACCCGCCAATGAAACAGAGAGAGCGCACATGAAGGGAAAAGAGAGACAACAGAAGACTAGAGGAAATGGAAAGCTCAATAATACCAATAATCTACAACAGATGACAACAGATTCGTCATCACCTAGATTTCCTTACTTGACCAAAACTGCCATAAAACAAATCCGCCTAAAAATGAAACCGAGTCGCGAAAAGAAGGAAATGTATGATATGAGACACAAAGACAAATGTTCAATATGAACATTGTGAGTGTAGTTTTTGAAATGTGTAAATATTTAAGAGGTTAATCTGAGTGATTACCGAGCACATTTGGAAGGAGACAGAAAGCTCAAGCCGGGTGAAATGAATGATGAAGAGCCTCCCTAAAAGATGTGTGTTAATCCATCTCAAACAGAGCAAACAGAGGCGGCAGTGAAGGTGTCTAAAGTAAACTGCTCACTGAAAACACAAGCTGGCACTTGTGAGGATGTGTTATTGCAGAAATACATCACTCTGTCGTTTCAAAGCGTCACAAAGGGATGAAGAGCGAGGGATGCGGAGAGAGAATGTAAAACAAACACCAAAGGCGAGACTGAGAAGCAGAACAGATGAAATCTTGGGCATAAAGAGAAAATCACAGTTACAAATGATGTAACTGATAACTCACCTAACCAAATTGTTTTTATTCTGTCCATATCTAATATTTATCAAATCATAAACTACCTTTTAAAAAGTTTTTTTTTAATGTTTCTGAAAGAAGTCTATTGTGCTCACAATAGACTAATGCTAGTGCTCACAAAACAGTAATTTTGTTACACATTACTACAATTTAAAATAACTAATATATATATATATATATAAAATGTAAATTATTCCTGTTATGGTATTACAGTTGTAAACAGTTGTGCAGCTTAAAATTTTGGTAAAAACTATATAAAAAAATTCTTTCAAAAGCAGTTATTTGAAAATAGAAATCTTTCGTAACATTGAATTGTCCCTTTTGATCAATTACTACATCCATGCTGAATAAAAGTATTAATATCTTTCCAAAGAAAATGAAGATAGCTGAAAACATTCAGAATCAGGGACATAATTGTTTTAACCCACAGGCTCTGAGCTTGTCAAGACATTGGCCACCTTTATTAACTAAACATCCTTTTGTTACAGGCACAACTCTTGCTTTCATGTGTCTGTGTGTGCGCGTGTTTACGTGATCTTAATCATTAGAAACAGTCCCCCTGTACTTCCTGTGGTGAGATGTCAGGCAGGAAGTTGCATGGGTTTGTTTACCAACAGCACACACACACACACACATGGTCCACAGGCCTAACACACACACACAGCTCACAGTCTGTGCAGGAGGAACAGCTTGACCACACAACTCTATGATAAAATGACAGAAAAGTAGGTCACCTTTGCACAAAGCAGTACGTGTGTGATGTCACCCATTATGTCATGACGACCAACCCAGACTTAAACTACTTGAGATTTATTAAATGCTCATTCCCTCACTGGAAACGTTTAACGTCCATTGGGCCTAAACAATATTGTTTTCAATGAGCTAGTTAAATCCTTATATTGACCACAGGTGCATAACAAACACACACACACAAAATAAAATTGCACTTAAGCACAAATCAGGATTGTAAAAAAAATGTGTGAAAGCATTTGCAGTGTCTCTGATGACTGCCTGTAAATATCATAATCAACCAGTGCCCTCTAGTGTCTGCTGGGAAAATGTAGGTTTTGTGGGATGAAGACTGTAAATATCAACCAATCACAACTCTCTTTGCTAGAGGGAGACCAGCGTGCATTGTTCTGTGTATGAATGAATGTGAGTGAAAGGTCTGTATATGAGGAGTATATGGTCAGGGGTGTGATGCGTCTCTTACGGCAGGGGTGGGCGAGAGGGTGATGTTTCCAATAGAGGCCTTCAGCTCATCGATGGTGGCTTTTTGTTGGTGTGTGCCGTTGTTGGTCTGCACGGGTTTGATCTGGACGTGGAATTTTCTTGGCTCATCCTCATCTTCTGAGTCACTGGATGAATAAAAGGAGTTCTCTTTGGCATGTGATCAGAACTGTTAAGGAAAATGGTTCGCACGCAAAAAAAAAAAAAAAAAAAGATTCAGCTATAGTATCTTGGGCTAGATGGTTAAAAATATCAGATTTTGTGTTTTATTTATTTCTTTAACATGTATTCTAGTCCTCACAGAGTGATTACGCAGCTCCGGTAAAGAAAACAGAAGACTGAAGAAAATCTGATGGGAAGGAATGACTTGAGAAAAAAAAAGTGCAACAAAGAAAAATATCACAGTATGTTCTCAAGCCAAAAAAAAGTGTTCAGAGTTTACATTGAGTAGAGGCGATGAAAGAGATAAAAGAAAATGTTTCTGTGGCTGAGATGAAAGTGTGTGTGAGGGATGGGGGGGGGGAGGGTGGAAGAGATGGATCTGGAGTAAGGATATCATTCTCGTTGACTTCTGGTCGGATACAGAAGCCCTCCTCGTCCAGCTGAGGCACGTTCTGCAGAAAAAACACACAACACACCACAGACAAAATCCTATTATTCACACTCTTCAATACATCACAACACAAGCAGAGTCCGACTGAGGTAAAACACACCATTGTTAGCAATATCACAAGAAGTATTTACACGGTGTTGTCTTTACTTAACATTGTAAGAATTATAGACAATCCTTCAACAACATTAGGTCACCACTCACGGCGTTATGAAGATCTATAGCACCGTAGAAACCCGGGGGAGCTCCGTTGGAAGCGTTCTGGAAGAAGGATGAACAAAAGAGGCTTTGTGGGCGCGACTCGCATGGAATTACTCCAAAATAACTAGAGAGCATACTTTGATGAGAAAATTTGGTTCATATTATGAAATTTCAGAAAAACACCTTTAGTTTGTATTAATTCAAACACTCAAATATGCGGATTATTTTCTCCAATAATAAGAATAAAATTAGAAAGGCAATAAATTGAATAAGCATAAATATACTCACAACTGCTTCTACTTCAGCTGATTCACTATTTAAAAACAGAGGGAAAAATGCGATGAAATGAAATGAAATGCGGAATTACTATGCAAATATGACATTATAATTAGTGAAACACAATAATACAAAAATGATCAATACCAAAATACTGTTATCTTAACCTATCTCAACATTTTTATCTTCCTCAATGTCACATCAAATTAAAATATGTATCTCACAAAATAATATGAATAATGGAAAGTTTGAGAATGTAGTTAAACATAGTTTCATTATTTAAAAATTTAGTAAGAAACGTGTTAAAAAGTAAAATAATATTAAAAAGCTTACGTGGAATCGGTGTCTTTATCTCTCCGCCGGCCTGGTATGGCAAAGGTTTTTCTTTTTCTGGGTTTGGCACCTAAACAGACACAGCAATGATTGTAACAAATCTAGACAAATATGGTTCCATCTGAAACAGATGTATATCGCCTTTAAAATAAAAAGCAAAGGCTGCAAAACTAAAATTCGGAGTGAATTATTATAAAGAGATTTAATTACAGACATTGAAGAATATATATATATATATATATATATAACAAATAAAAAATTGGAAAAGAGACAAAAAAAAAATAAAAATAAATAAATCACGCAGACCTTCTGTGGCGATTGAGACATTACATTCCTCAAATTCGATGGGCCCTGTAATGAAAACAGATAAAAAATACAAATAATTAAAGGGATGTTGTTTTACAGTATCTTGGATTCAAGAATTATAATATGTTGTAATTAAAATACATTTTTACAGTGTTACATAAAAACTTGCACTTTATTTTAAGGTGTCCATGCAATTACAGTGTAATTATACATTTAAGTACAGAGTAATTAATTAAAATGTACTTACTATAAAAGGAAAAGTGTTTGTTTGGTTTAGCTTTAGTTGCATGTAATTATGCATAATTTACAGCTATTACTACATGACTTTAAAATAAGGTGTTGCCAAATCTTGTTCTTAAGTCCTCAAAAAACAAAAACAACAAAAAAAAAGAAAAAAGAAAAAAAAAGCACAGTCACAGACACACACAGGTCAGATTCTCTGGTAAACAAAAGTACAGAGTCATCGACAGGTCTTGTGGCAATCAGCACAATCTGAGTTCCCTTTTAAAGCCAGAGCATGTAGTTCACAGCCAGCATGCAACACACACTAACAGATGCACACTTCTGTTTTGTAACCTCAGAAATCAAACAAACACACAAGTCCAATGCAATTATGTAAAGCACTAGTCAAATGCCGTATAATAACAATAATAATTCATTACATGTATATTACTCAAAGTGCTTTACATAGAAGGGGGAATCTCCTCCACCACAACCATTATAGTCTCCACTGAAAATTTGAATTAATAAAGCAGTGAAATGACACACAGACGGCTGCAAAAAACAACAAACTGCACGCTTCATTTCTTGCTCATCAATTTTGCATATTTACCTCCAAGCTTTTACACTTTTAACGTGACCCATTTCCACACTGACACAAAGGGATGAAAGGATTTAAACAAACAAACTCTGCTTCACCATTTTCATTGTATTTGGTTGCTCAGGCTATTGCAGTCAATGTGTCAGCAAAGTTTCTACTTCAGAGTGAAGTCAAAATATGGAATAAAATGAAATCAGTAACACTTTACAATAAGGTTCATTAGTTAACATTAGTAAATGCTATAACTAACATGAACTATTGATGAGCAGTGTTTATATATATATTTTTTTTAATATTAGTTAATACAAATACAGCTGTTCATTGTGGGTTCAAGTTAGTTCACAGTGCATTAACTAATGTTAACACTAATACAACCTTTGATTTTAATAACGTATTAGTAAACGTTGGAATTAATATTAATAAATGCTGAAGAAGTATTGTTCATTCTTAGTACGTTAACTAATGAACCTTATTGTAAAGTGTTACCACAAAATCTAATTTTAATCTGATATCATCCATCACCAACCCCAGTTACTTTGGCTATAGATTCTCAATAAATACCCTGAACAGCATATAAATATTCATTCTGTGCTTTCGTGACTGGTCGTAAAGAGAGGAGGGATGCCCCTCAGTGCTCTAAGAGCCCTTTAGAGCGGGTTTTCTTTTGTGTTAATGCGCGTAAAAGCTAATGCTTGTCCAAGAAAACGAAAGACAGAATTTTACTACTACCAGACCCCAGTAAGAGAGCCCGGGGTGCTATTTTCATTGCACAGAAAATGCCTTGACCTGAAAAAACAAAAGCGTGTGATATTGAACTCAAGCGGCTCAACAGAGTTTCCCAGGAGAACGGCGTCCGTGAGAGGACCTCATGCGCACCGTTCAGAGCGGTCACGACAGGCCCACATCACACACATCATACTGACATAGATACAGTATGACTGATCTACTCTACTGCACCAGATCATTTCCCTCTCTCAGCTCTCTCTAACTGTTTGTTTAAGATCATCTCTGAACACACAATCAGAACTAAAGGTTCACACACACCAATAATGAAAGATCCACTCGAATTAAAATCACATTAAACTCTTATAGAACCACACACACACACCTTATTGGTAAATTATAGTTAAATATAATAATACTACACAATAAATAAATGCTAACCTTCAGATTTTTTTTTTTTTTATAGAATTCATAAAATGAACAAGAAACAAAAACGATAACTACAACTGCACACCAAAAACAAGAAACAAAACCTTCCCAAACATTCCCAAAATGAGGCTTGATCAGATCAAATAATGGTCTCTAAATAATGGCTAAATTAGAAAGACGGACAAAACTTTTTTTCTCCATTCATTGCAACAATCAGCAAGTTTGTCCAAACAGGTTTAGCAAACCGAACAATGAAGATTGATTTCTAAGATTTCCATGCAGCTGCAGGCCTGAGGAGAAAGATTCATCTAATTAAGTGATGGCAATGGCGAGGAACGGTGCAAATGACAACACTACCAGGCTCCATCTAACAATATTTATGCACACAATTCCAAACATTAGACACAACAATACTATCTAAATCTGGAAAAAGGGTATTAGGTTTTGTTTAAATTCATGTAAACAGACAGACTGCTTCGTTTACATGAACGCATGTGTTTGTATGTATGCGTGTGTGGGTCTAGCAATACTTTGAGGAAAAACATTGCTGAAAAACAGTCCTTTGGGAATGTTTGAAAAAAAAAAAAAAAGGTTTACTAAAACTCTAAAAAATGCACGTCAGTTTTCGTTTAGGAAGCGTCTTTAGTAATTACATATAGGTTAACCCCCAGAAGTTCAAGGTATGTCCTTATTTGGATTGCTAGGCAAATGTGTGCTTTTGTGAGTGCTCATACACGTGCATGTTTGTATACGAGAGGTGCATGCAGTCATGCATTAACGGAGGATGTTTTTATAAAATTGCATATGTTGAGCATGCAGCAAGGAGTTTGCGTGTCTGGCTGGCGGCCAGTTCACAGCCCAGCTGGATATCACTGAACTGCTCTTGCAACCTCCCCACAGCCCAGCGTGTCACTTCGGGATTGTTTCCGTGGTACAAAGTTTGTTCAACCTCTCTCTCTATATATATATACTGGTTAGGGCTGCTCTGATTTCATCAGCGTGCCACACAGGTTATTGCTCTGACAGCGGCGCAATCCCTAATGAACAGCTTGATACGGGGGAAGGAATGTTTTGTTGACCAAAACAGCTTTTAGTCTCAATTAATTCTGCTGTCAAAACAAATGGAGGGCAACCAAAAGCCTGAGAGTTTAGTCTAGACCCCTGGGGGTCACCACTATACATTCATACATGGTTTAATTGGTCTACCTGTGTATGGCATTTTATATACATACACACACACACACACACATACAGTATCATTCAGAAGTTTGGGGACAGTATTGAAAAAGTGACAAAAGACATGTTATAATGATACAAAAGATTGCTTTTTTAACATAAACGCTTTCGAAATAGAACAAATAAAGGTGTCAGGGTTTCCACAAAAAACACTATTTTTCTATTTAAACATGAGAAATGTTTCTTGAGCATCAAATCATCATATTAGAATTATTTCTGAAAGATCATGTAATACTGAAGACTGGGGTAATGATGCTGAAAATTCAGCAAACTTCAGGAATAAATGATAATTTATTGAAATGCTGTAAAATATTATTACTAGGGCTGTGAAACAATTAATCGCGATTAATCGCATCCAAAATAAAAGTTTGTGTTTACATAATATATGTGTGTGTAGTGTGTATAATTATTTTGTATATATAAATACACACATATGCATGTATATACAGTATTTAAGAAAATGTGTTATTAATATATCAAATATTTATATTTATGTATAATATTAATTTTGTGTAAAAAAATATAAAGTATATTCATGCAAATATTTCTTAAATATACACATGCATGTGTGTCTATTTATATATACAAAATAATTATACACACTACATAGTATATTATGTAAAAACAAACTTTTATTTTGGATGCAATTAATCGTTTCACAGTTATTTAAAATAACTGCCAACCCCAAACTTTTGAATGGCAGTGTGTGTGTTAATGTATGTATAATTTGTAATTACTTATATAATCATTTTGGCCATTGATAAAATAACATAATCTCAAATAATAAGTATAAGATTGTAAGAAAACAGGTTACCACAGCTAAAGTGTGTTTTTTTTTTTCTGTGCCAATGGCACAGAAAATATTTTTTTTTTAAATAGTTTCCCAAACACTCCCTGTATCTGCAACTGGATGAATAAAATGTATACCGGTAGTCCCGCCCGAAACAGCACAGTAATGCATTGAAAAATCGCTGGGAGCTGAAAAAGTTGCCAAGCCATGTTGAAGGCAAAATCCAACATCTAGTGTACAACATTTATATTGTTAACATAATTGCTGGCTAAACCAGTGTAATTATGCTCCACCACGCCCCTTTAAGCTTTAAGCAAGATTATATTCTCTATGTGAAATGTGAAAAAACTTCCACCCTGTGAAAAGAGGGAGAAGCAGGAGGTCAAATGAAAGGTCATGGAGGGATAAGTGAGGAAAAATAGCAAGAGCACAGGGGGAAGTGTAGCCGTGTCAAGCTCTATCAATCTCAAGTGGCTTAATCTCGTGTAAAGGTGCGCGAGTTTGACATTCTACTTAGCATGTGACGCTAGTGTTAGCATGTGACAGCCAGCGCTGGCTGAGACCTGGGCTCAAAACCCCTGTAAGGGTCAGAGCTCCACAAATCCTTCAGTGTTAACTGCACTATACAGCAATCAAGTCAAACATACTCTTAGTGTGTTTACAGTGCAACCTAATGCTCATTTATAATCCCTAACCCCCAAAAAATTGGTCAGATGGTAATGAACTTATGACCAGTCTTGTTAAAAATATCAAGAGCAAAGTAGTTTGGTGCCAGAGGTTAATGCTGTATGTGTGATTTAGCTGCGTTACCTGGTCTCTCTTTGCCAGTTCCTTTGCTTTCTGCCAGTTTCTGTATGAGGCTCTCGACAGAAGTGTTCTCCATGTTGTTCACAAACTCTTGTTGCACCTTCACAATTAAAACAGAAACAGATACATAAGTTTAAACGCCCTTCTTCACTATTTGCACTCCTTAACAGCTTAACAGAGAATTTGATAACCATACAAGTTTTGTAGTTGACATAGTAGGTATAAAAGTACTAATGCATGTGGAATTAACATTAACCGTCTGTCAAAATATTGCTTATTTCTATTTTGTTACAATTTGGATTTTTTTTTTAATCAAAGCTTATTGTGACCACACATTTGTGTCTGAACAAAAGAAAGGTTGACATGATCCCAATAATGAAGAATGAAAAGGTTTCTCTCACAAAGTGTAGCTATGTACGATTATTCCTTGTCCAATTATACAAGGATACAAAGGATACAATTAAAAAGACAAGAGTCAGACTTAACATCAGACTGTTAATGGAGGGCGACTTTAGTTCAGGAATGGCAGCATTTGCGTCTGAAGCCAATTGACCGGACAAAATAGGTCATGGACTGCTTATTCCGCGGACTCTATACAGCGCGGACTGGACTCTATGTCATTTTTAGTATTATCATAGCATGAAGTGACTCTAAATAACAAGGTATTTATGTTGCAAATCATACATACAAACTAGCATGAAAATTTCAAAAGTGAACATAATATTGCCATAATATATGATTATTTAAACATATCATATTTATTTAAACATCAGTGTATTAAACTGCAAAATCCTGTTCCCTAGGCTCAATCAATTATTGGGCACCTTGTCTTACAATTGAACAAAAACACCATATTGATGATTTTTAGCAGTTATTTTAATAACAATGGCAACAGAAGAGCACATCTCTGAAACACTGAACAAAGAGGGCCTAGAAACCAGTGTAATGAGATCCAGTATGATCATAAACTACATAATGTGTTATGATCATAAACCTGGACAGGCAGTGCTTCATCACATTGCCAGTGCTATCCCATGCAAGCAATATCAAGGATCTGGAGGAGGAGAAGGCTGAGAGCTAGTGCACGCGACGAGGATGTGACATTATTTCCTCAGGTGACCACTTTGACTGTCTTTGTATTTCTAGCCCTCGAGGGATGGTGACAAATGCAGTGTCTCCACCGCTGACTCAATGCTTTCCTTTTACAGTTGATGTATTCCACAGATTTTCTAGTTCAGGTCATAAACATACAGAAATCCATACAAATGTTTGTCAATTTGATTTACTATTCATCTCACCAATCCAACCAGCTCTGAAAAAGGGTTAGTACATAACTAAAACCATAAACAAATCACTTGTCACTTGAAATAAGACTTATTTTATTTCAGCGAATTGCCAAGGCAATATTTCCCAATTTCATTTAGTTTAATTTGATGTACTTTGTAAATGTAAATAGGTGTATAAAAATGTATAAAAACTTTCTAGATATAGACATTTAAAAGAGAAGTATCAAAAATTACCAACAAAATTATTTTAAGGTCAAAAGGAAAATGGAAAAATAAAGTTAAAAATATTTTATAATAAGGTTTAAATAGTTAACATTAGTTAACTACGTTAATTAACTTGAACTTAGAATGAACAATACGTCTACAGCAAAATTTACTAATACATATTTAAAAACAAAAATTGTAATTGTCAACATTAGTCAAAGGATTTTTATTAACAAAGATTAATAAATTCTGGCACACATGTATTGTTCATAGTTAGTTCAGGTTAATTATTTCATTAACTAATGTTAATAAACGAGATCGTATTGTAAAGTGCTACCACTTATCTCAATCATACTAAAATAATGCTTTAAAATTAATCACATTTCAGTATTTTTGACGATGCTCCAAAATAAATACATACATACATACATACATACTGACTACTGATTATTATAAATATAAAACAATTTGTAAAAATGTTTATAAAATAAATATAAAATATTCAGATACTCAGTATACATAGACTCAGTATACAAATATATAAGTAGTGAGTGACCGACTTGATTAAGTTACGATAGTGCTTCATGTGAGAGAGTGGTGGGTCCATGGGACCTTCACCAGGGTTTTGTCAATTAAACATTTACTGACTAGCTCATGGCTAGTGAAGTGTTCAGTCGGTCTTAAAAGGTTTATGCACAATTTCATTAAAGAAAAAAAATCTCTTCTATTAAAGACACATCCCACTGTTCCATCTTTTACTCTGTCATTTCACATCTAGAACCCTTTGTTATATTAAGTTCTTAAAACTCATGTACAGATGAACAGTGACACCTACTTGAAAGAGGATTTAATTCATTTTGTATGCACACAGAGACTATACAACCATAAAAACCAGTGTAAAAAAACAACAACAAAAAAACTCTAATCTAATTTCTTTTCAGGGAGTGTGTGGTTAGGATGAAGCCCAAACCAGAGCAAGCAATAGTTCTGTGGTCAATAACCAGTAAAATGCCTAACAGAGATTGTTTGCTGTGGGTGTGTAGGAATGAGATTGTGTGCGTTCAGCATGGAAGTACATTTCAATGAATAATGGAAATGTATGCTATAAATCACTCTGAATCAGTGGCAATTGGATTGAGGATAGATAAGGAAAGACTGATCAGCCTCATATTATGAAGTTCATTCATGCCTGTTTGACTTCTGCACGTTTATGGGTCTCTGATGCCCTCTACCGCTAAAAGATGATGCAACAGCCAGATCTCATAGGCTTCATCCAGTGTTCCCACACCTTTTCGCCATTTAATTTGTGTGTGAGAGTGCATTTTTGTAATAAAATAAATGAAAAGATAATTTTCTAGATTAAGAAAGTGTCCGGGAAATGATGTAAATGAGCAACATCTTGAAATAACATTGCCATGATAATAAAGTGTGCATGTTTGTCTGCTCACCTCTCCGATCTGTATGTGCGTCTCTTCAACAGACTGAGAGTACGAATGGATAATCTCCTGCATACGCATGACATGTTCCTCCTCAATGCCCTGGAATTTCTGTAGACACACACAACCTTTAGATAACTTTTTTTTCTGAAACTAATTTTTTCTAAAAATGGATAATACTGGATACTAGTTTTAGTCAGTCTCAAATGTGAAGCTGAAAGCAGATGTTAAGAAATGATACTTAATCAGACCAGAATATTTTCTGTGAATAGCCTATCTGGGTGGTCTGAGAAGCTAAGGGTGTAACACGCACAAACGCACTGAAAATGAATATGCATGCGTGCATGTGGGATGTGTGTATGTCAAGGATGGCTGCATGCCTGATTTGCTGTTTATGCTCCTCTCAGACTGACAGTAGGGTTTTAGAAGATTTAAGGGGAAGAGGAGAAAAAGACGAGGAAATGAGCGGAAACAAGATAATGACAGCATAAGTCAGAGCATGTGTGACCACAGGGAAAAAACGTGTTTGTGCATGTGTGTGTGTGGATCATGTAAGGAAACATCAATAAAGAGCTAAAGCTTTGTATGTCTGAGGACTCTGTGGCTCTAATTTGGGAAATTAAGTGTGTATGTGCGGGATGGGTGAGGGGCTGCTACAGTGTTTCCTGACCGCGCTACTGAATTTAAAGCAAAAGACATTACAATGTACCCAAGTCGTGTGCTTGCAGTCTTTAGTATGATGAGGTAAAAAAAAAAAAAAAAAAAGATAGTGTACCACAAAAATAATACAGGACAACAATTAAAATATAATATATTTGAAAAAAAAAAAAGATTATTTATTAATTCAATTTAAAAAGGAAAATGTAAACTCTAAAATTAAATACAATATAAATAAAATTTTGAATTTTTTTTTTAATAAAACGTTCCGTTAAATTTATAATAATCTTAAATATAAATGTTATTAAACATTTAAAAGTACTAAATCAAAACTGATAATTCTTATTTTTGATTGAATATAGCCATTTTTTAATTGATGCGCCCTTTTAATCTTTAATAAAAAAAAAATTATATATTATTTGGATACACTAGGATACACAAACTGCATAAAAACTTTAATAACCCTAACTAACAAACATTCCACACAATCTTACTTGTGCGGTTTCTGTCATTCTTTGCTCAAATTCTGTTTTCGCAGTGGCATACTTCTCCACATATGACTTGTAGGACTCAGTGGCTTTCTTGACCTTCAATCCAGCCTACAAACAAATAACACAAACCAGACAGAGAGAAATGTATACATTCAGACATCATCCAAACACCTTCCAGATTCCAAACTATTGCGGTGTCATTCATGCATGTACAAGTCTGTGTGTGTGTACCTTGTCCAGGTCTCTCTGTGTGGCCCCCTCTTTGCGGATACGTTCTTGCTCTAGCATCTTGTTGACGTAGTTCTCTTTGCTCTTCTGTAAGGCCTGTGACACAGTCTGGATGTTCTGCACAGCCTCCAGAGTGGACGCCACCTCCTCCTTTGTCTAGAAAGCCAGAGAAACCAGAAAGAACTTGAGTATTATACTCATCTTTAAAAAAAAATATATGTTTTACACACAGCCCTAAATCTCTTGCTTTTAGAATGTAATACCATACTCATTTTAGCTATGAAATGGACATAGTTGTGAAGGTGCTAACACAATCAAATACTTAAATGCATAAAGTTTAAAGAGTCAAACAAAAAACTCAAGGAAAAAAGTAAATACTAAGATTAGCCCAGTCATCATGTTTTTTTTTTTCTGTAAGTGTGTAAGCAACCAAACACTGTTCCTCTGCACATGCACAAAAACAGAAACCTGTTTTCTTTTCATAAAAAAGTCTCACAGTCATTCAAATATAATAAAATAAGCAATAATAATCAAGACTAATAATTCACATACATACACAGAAAAAAATTGGATGATCTCTACATAAAAGTCATTTATATATATATATATATATATTTTTGTTATTAATAATAATAATAATAATAATAGTAATAGTTGACAAATTATTTCCATGAGAGGACGAGGAAGACACCCACAAACATTTCAGAGATGTGAAATTAATAGTGGAATATACAGGAGACCATTTGTATGCATTATAATTATTATGCAATTATATGCCCATTTAATATGATACTCCTTAGTCTGTTTTTAGAAATGTGGATAATGAGTGATATTCACCAGAAAAACCCTTTCTAATTTTATCTTACAGCGATTGCATACCAGAAATGACGTCTACCGCCGACTCATTTAGCTGAGAATTTGGGTTCATATTTTGTTATGTAGCATGTTATGAGCAAAAACCCACATGGATATTAATCAAACAGCAAAGATGACGGCAGCTCCCATACCTTCTTATGATTTTTGGCTTGTTCCTCCACATATTTCTGGACTTCCTTGATGAGCTCTTGCAGTTTGCGGACCAGCTCCATGTGACACGCAGCCAGTTTCTCAGTGGACTGTTTAAACACATCCCACACTGGCGCAAACGTCCTGTGGAACAAATGGCCATTTCATTTTCTTCTCAGTGCATAATACTCAACACACTTTGTTCAAATAAAACATAAAAATGTGTTAAACATGATTTGTGATTTAACACCAAGGTCTGTTTATTCTCTCGATATCAGATTTATCCTCTGGTCCTGGTTGTTTTTAATGGAAACAGCTCTGCGCAAGGTTTAATGACACTATAATGTCGATACTGACAATATGATATGTGGGGGGGTGAAAATCATGTGCAGCTGAAATAAAGCACCGCAGGCCAGTGGAAAACCAGCTTTCAACTGCATCTAGCATATTTTGCAAATAGATATTATACAAACTTTGCCTATTTTCATAATAGCAATAACAATGAGTTGATTGCTTTCTTCCTACAGATCTTTTTGAAGTAGCTTATGAAGTTTCGCTTGACTGGCAATATGTCTCCCATTAGCAGGGAAAGTACAGCAAGCTTGCCAGAATAAAGTTTATATAGAATAAAGATTCACAAATGTCCCAGGCAGGTAAGTGAACAGCTGTGGGTATTCATTTTCGTTCCTTGCTTTCATGAATAAAGGCTGAGAGACATTGAAATGATGTAGGTTTTCCAGCTCATTATAAAAACATTATTAAATGGTGTTCATAATGAACCCACCGGTCCTGTAAAGCCCCCTCTCCACACACACACACACACACACACACTTACCCTAGCTGAGAGCAGTTGCTGGCAGTCTTGGCCAGTTTGGTCATTGATCTTGAATACGTCTCCTCTATGGTGGCTCTGAGACAAGAATGGAGAAAACCATGTGTGAATAATCAATCAAATCCAAATAATGACAGGTTGTCACTGATTATTATGTTAACAAATGAGACACTATTGTGAAGTGTTAACATTGTTATTTAGAAAGAATTAAACAACACTTCTCAGCTTTCACTCGCACAAACATTTAGATATACTTGCATACAATTGTTACCATAATTAATTGTGCTTTGTTAAAAAAGAAAGAAGCTGATCTAAGAGTTACTCAAAGTTGCACAAGTTACACGGATGAAAACAAATGTAAGTTCAAATTCATTATTCTCTAAAGTTTTACACATTTAAATGAATGTCATGATCTTAACCTTTTGATCAAAATCTAGACAAACATAGATTGTGAATGCAAATAATTTTTACAAAATTAAAAAGATATTTAATTCCAAAAAAAAAAAAAATCAGAAGAGCATGTGCTCAGCAAACAAGTGAACTCATTCAGCACTTTAAAACAAACAAACAAACAAAAAACATCTCAGGATAATATTTGAGAGAAGCCCACAGTGTATACATAATTCTCATTGATTAATTTGTGTCATATCATGTCCTAGTTTAGATGTTTTAACTAGAATTCCAAAATCTGAAAAACAGTAAATAAATAAATAAAATATAACTTTATCCAAAACTTTGATTGGTAGTAAATCTATGGCTATGGTTCTTTTTTCGTGTGTCACACTAGCAAATTAGCCTGGGTACTGTTTTACTCAGACAAAGACAATGTCACTCTGTGTCCAGAAGAGGGAGACAGACACGCTCCATTTGTCTCTCCCAAAACAGTCAAAGAGCTCATGAGACAGTTTTATCTTCTGCACATTTTAAATTTATCAGCGTGTGAATTCTTTCCGTTAGTTTAACGCAGCTTTGACCGTTAAAGCAGGTGAGACGTGTGATGGATGCCGAGGCTTTTGGAGAACTTGCGGCATTTATGAAAACCATTTGGATGGTTTTGTGAGAAAAGTTTTAAAATAGTTTCTTCTTGAATAGCTTTACTCCCTTGGCACATGTCATGCTTGTGTAAGACAAGCAAGATTTCTAGCAGAGCTTCATCCCTTTCACAGGTGAACCATCTGACAAAACTTGTGCATGTTTTGGAACAAGAAGATCTAAGAAAGTATTAGCAGCTACTATTCAGTACTGTATTCAATACATTTAATATATTAAATTATGACTGTACACAATTTGCTCAGACAGTCAGTGGCATCAATATCCGGTAACAATAGCTTGACACTGCTATAGACACTACTGCACATTCAAGTACTGCACAATCACATGTCAGATCCCTGATTGCTACCAAAAAAAAAATACAAGGGCCCGTACCATGATCGAAGTTCAATCAAACTCAAGGTTACGGGAAAAGTTGAGTTGACAAAACCAGACCAAACCAATTCAATAAGGCTTTGTTGGTACTATGATGCTGATCATCAGCTTTCTCTGTCAACTCCGGCTTTAATCCTGAGTTTATAGAGGATGTGCAGATGAAAGTGTGACATCAGCAGCGAACAGACAATCACATGGCTTAAAAGATGCAAAACTGCAATTCACTTCTCACAAGAAAATCAACAAGATTAATTTCTCTCTTCTGTCGAAGATTAAGAGACTCAAGAATATGAAGTAAAGGCATTTACACAGTGCAAGTGAAAGTTGTGAAGATAGTTTATATATATATATGCACATAGTCCTAAAGGATTATTAGGAACACCTGTTCAATTTCTCATTAATGCAATTATCTAATCAATCAATCACATGGTTGTTGGTGCAAGACGGGGCTGGTCTGAGGCCACGTTTACACAAAGCCGGGTATTTAGCAAAACAAATATTTTCCCCCTCTCCGTTTTCAAAAATAACATCGTTCACACACCCGCATAAATATGCCGTTGAGCGCCATCATATCTATGCCAAACCTATTGGCGGCAGTGTAGGGGTTAAGGATAAAGCCATTCAAGCCAATCAGAATCCTCAGAAACGACAAGAGAGAACCTAAAACGCCGTTTCTCCCAGTTCACACGACAACACATAACCGGCGTTTTCAGAAATCTCCACGTTGGCCGGAGTTTTTAGAAATAATCGTTTTCAATGATAAAAACCGCGTTTTTGTGTAAATGAGAGGGCAAAACGCAGAGAAATATCTGCGTTTTCCCATCGTGTAAACGGGGCCTGAGAATGAGTATTTCAAAATCTGCTCAGTTACTGGGATTTTCACGCACAACCACTTCAAGGGTTTACAAAGAATGGTGTGAAAAAGGAAAAACATCCAGTATGCGGCAGACCTGTGGTCGAAAATGCCTTGTTGATGGTAGAGGAGAATGGGCCGACTGATTCAACCTGATAGAAGAGCAACTTTAACTGAAATAACCACTCGTTACAACCGAGGTATGCAGCAAAGCATTTGTGAAGCCACAACATGCACAACCTTGAGGCGGATGGGCTACAACAGCAGAAGACCCCACCGGGTACCACTCATCATCTCCTCTAGAAATAGGCTACAATTTGCTAGAGCTCACCAAAATTGGACAGTTGAAGACTGAAAAAATGGAAACATTTCTAAAGAATGCTTTCAGCCTTGTTGAATCAATGCCACGTAGAATTAAGGCAGTTCAGGGGGTCAAACACAGTATTAGTATGGTGTTCCTAATAATCCTTTAGGTGAGTGTATACAGAGACTTGAACATTTAAGCTCACATGTAGTCATTTTTAAAGTTTCTGATTTCAAATCTTATTAATATTATACACTATCTGTATTTATATTCATTTAAACTAAATGCTTAATAATAATAATTGTTAAACTAAAATTGCTCATGTGTAATGGATTAGGGGTTTTTATATTATATAAATAATAGCCTACTATATACACATCATATAAAATAATTCATTAAAAAAATCACATTTTTAAACCACATACGTGTGATTTGGATCAGGTTAAATGTGGCTACTGCAGTAAAAAAAAAAGAATAATTTGGACAAGTAAAAAAATAAATAATCAAAAATATTTTTGTTGACTACACTTCACACAACAGATAAAACCAGTGGTGATATAATATATATTATTTATATATTAGTTTATTCAAATGTTTACTTAATTTGATATTTTCAGTACCTTTTGGTTTTGTAATATTTCTCTTTAGCTATAATTTATGTTGGTTTTAGTTTAGTCATTTTTATACAACTATTTTACTTTAGTTAGTTGTCAAGGCAACATAGGCTTTTCATCTAATATTTTATTTCATTTAAACTTTATATCAATTAACAAAAACGATAACAACTGCTAACATCAAGCATTTTTTAGAAAAGATGAATGTCTGAGTTATGACAAGCTGTAATGAATACAATGAAACATTAGACTGAGGAAACTCCCCTCATCCCCTCAAAAAAAACAAAAAAAAAAAAAACAAAAAAAAAACACACTTTTACCTTTCTCTGATGAAGTCTGACAGCTCTTTGCTGGATATCTGGCCATGTTTCATGTTGTGGTACAGTACATCAAATCCATTGTTTTTATCTCCCTGCCAAAAAGAACATAAATTAGTTCACAATCAACTGCATTACATCAACACAACTATATTTATTTCTCAAATAAAACAAAACAAGAAGCAATGTTAAGAAACAGAGCCAGACTCCATGTCATCACTGATGCTGGCATTTGTTTACCACTTTAGGTTTCTCAACAATCATCGCTGCCATGGTCTGAATGGCATCTAGCTGGCTTCTTAAAGCAGACTGGTCCACCATGTTCATCCGCAACATACTTTCCGTATTTTTGCCCGTACGAGAGTAAGTCAGTGTTAAGGTTGATCTGTGCAAAGGGTTTCATAGTAACCATGGTTACAATGCCGCTACAAGTGTCCAATATCAGAGTTTTAAAAATGCAAACACTAAACTAATGCATAATTCAGATCTGAAGCGAGTCTGATCCCTCCTTTAATTTTGTAATGACAGAAACACACACACACACACACACACAAACACGTGCACTCAGTAAATCTGTTCTGAGTGACTATAAAACGTATGTTTTATCTATCAACAACAGACATAATTGTATGCTCTAATAGATCTAATACATCAGATTAATGAACCAACCCCAAACAAGCTAAACTGTAATTATATTTATTAGCATTTCTCAAAGGCCAACTGTGAAAACAGATATCTGGCACACCACTAGAGTTCAACCAGTGATTCAAGGAAAAGCACAAGAAGAAAAATGTTGTCTATGATAAAATTACAATTTAAAAGTTTGGGGTCAGGAAGATTCATTGAAATATTTTTTAAATATGTGTTTTTATGCTCACCAATGCAGCATTAAAAATACAGTTAAACAGTAATATTGACACATTATGATAATTTAAAATAATATATAAATGTTAAAATATAATCATTTTAATTAGAGCCCAACCGATAAAGGATTTTGAAGGCAGGTACCGATACAAATATTTGTTGGTTTTAAAATCCGATGTTCCGATATATCGGCCGATTTATATTTTTTTTTTTTCCAGAAACGCACAACAAAATATTAACGGATTTCCCTAACATTAGTTATTTGTAGTTATTTATGAGTTTTAACTAAAATAATTTGATAATGCATTTTAAAAAGAAACTTGTTTCTTATATTGTCACACACCAGAACAGAGGAACATCAAATTTTATTAAAGTTCTGATAAATAAATAATAATTAGTCCCCACATTGCCTTATAGGCTACCTGGAGCCTGGTTCAGCAGGTTGCAGGATGTATGGCGCGTTATACAAAAGTGTTGCCAACAGGGACGGTGTAGAGTGCCCTCTGGTGGACAAATTATACAACTCCAACACTCATGATGGTTGAAGCGTGTTTCGACCATTTTTATTTTATTTTTGAAATATTAATTTATCGGCCATTATAACTGCCGATACCGATAGTTGCCTAAAATGCCTAATATCGGCCGATAATATCGGCCTGCCGATAAATCGGTCTAGCTCTAATTTTAATAAATACAACGTTTTCTCCTGTGATCGCAAAGCTGGATTTTCAGCATCATTACGCCAATCTTAAGTGTCACATGATCCTTCAGAAATCATTTGCTGAATTGCTCTTCAGAAAACATGTCTTATACATGATCAATGTTGAACATAGTTGCGCTGCTTAATATTTTTTTCGTGGAAACAGTAATTTTTCAGGATTCTGTTATGAACAGAAAAGTTCAAAAGAACAGTATTTAAGAACATTCGATCACTGTCACTCTTGATCATTTTACTACATCTTACTGAATAAAAAAAAAAGTAGTAATTTCTTGAAAATAGTTATCTTACGGAACAGTGGTGTACCTCTACAGAATATATTCACGCCAGTTTTCATTTTAAAAGCAGCTTGGTGGAGTATTTCAGAGAAGAATCAAGAAAAGCATATATAGATTTATATAATCACCAACTATGCAAAAACTAGGGATGCACAATATATATCGGCCACATTATCGGTATTGGCCAATATATGATCATTTTTAATGTTATCGTTATCGGCCCAACAAGAACATTTAGCCGATATCTGAAAGCCAATAAATAATGTATTATTTTCTTTGAGCTGAGGCACTTTAGATATGCACTGTTCAACATGATGCTTTTAAATTGCTTGAAATACGATTGAAATCACTTTAAAAAAAGGAAAATCCAGTTAAAGTGCAAAATGTGCAGCGCAAGTCTGTCATATCGGCTACACAACATTAAAATAACATCATCATTGTGTTCTTGGCTTTTAATGAGGAAAATCAAAAATTGTCTAAAAATTTGGATTTAGATTTATCGGCCAAAATATCAGTTATCGGCTTTTAAATATAAAGAATTATCGGTTATCGGTATCGGCCAAAATTGCCATATCGGTGCATCTCTAGCAAAAACACATCAACATGATTAATAAACAGAATAAACAGCTCTCATCTCAGGTTTATACTGTGTGTAACTTCCACATCAGCTTTTGTGGACACAGCAAATATCATACAGTGTGTGTTTCCTGTGAGATTGTTCAATTGTGTGTTGAAAGAACAGCGACAGGAAAGCCAAGCGCTACAGAAGTGACTGAGGCGAGGAATGCATGCGATATTGAAAAATACAATAGGAAAATAACAACAAACTCAGGAAAATACTTTGGGCGTCTGCTCCTTGCATGCCAGTTTGTTCTGTGATTGGTCCAGACAGCTTATATGACTTTTTTAGTGCCTAATCTTTAAACATAAGTCCAGTCATAAATTGTCATCACACAAAAGTTTACTGTCCCTTTGTTTTGTTCAGTTGTATGCTTTTCAATTGACGTTTTATATTTTACATGATGACTACACTTGATTTGGGTTAAACTCTTTTTAAACAACGAGTAAAGACTAGTTTTAACCTTGGGTTAAGCAACGTTTTACACTTGTGATGTGAAATGTAAACAGTAAAAATATGTGTCGAATGTTACAGCAAAATGATTAGCAATAGACAACCAATCACAAGTTCAGAGAAGTTCGATAAACACCAGACATACAGTGGATGAGGAACAAAACATGTAGGTGGAAGTTGCTAAATTGAGCATTGGAAATGCTCGCTGACTCTAATGTGGAGTGTTGTGCCTTTGTTTGTGTTTCTGTGACGGTATTAACTTTAAACCACAGTCTGGCTCGAGACAAACCAAAGAGAATTCATATTTTAAAGCCAAAACACAAGACAAGACATGTGTGAGTTTGGATTGATTGAGGCAGCTGGTTTCATAAACTGGTTAAGGTTCCCAGTATAGAGATTACAAACACCTTTCCTTTAAGAACACACACTCTGCGTTTTTACCTGTATTTCATTGCATTTTTCATTTTTAATCAAATTGGTTGGCTTAGCAAATAGACTATTCCTGCAGTTATTTTCATGTCAAAATATGTTTGTTTAAATTATTGTAAGAGCTTCTGTTACTTTCATTGTTCATATTATTGCTCTATCATATTTTATCTTTAATAAAATATATCTTTAAATTAATAGCACAGTGAATATTTTGGGCTGCTCCATTTTCAGTGAATTTCTGGTTCTCAAAGTTGTTGTGTATACACTACAGCTCTTTTGATAGGGGAAAACTAGATACATTTCTAGTTTAAATATTATTTATTCTTCAGACATTCATCTTACAATAAGTATCAGCTGTGTGCAAAGTAAATTTAGTTTTTGATTACTGAAAAATTGGTCAAATTCAACAATTTGAACATGGAGATGCTTTGAGACCCCCATATCTATCTATAGGGCCTTGAAAATTAAGATTTCAACAGGAAAGTTTATCAAGTATGAGAATCTAGAACAATACTAAGGTATATTGAATACTTCTTGAGTTACAGGCATACAGACTTTGGAAAAATAATATTTTTGGCACTCCGACAAGTATGTTCTATGCAATTGTTTTGAAAGAAAAAAATTAGAAACATTTTTTAGTTTCAACATTATTTGTTCTTCAGATATTCATCTTTAAAAGAAAAAAAAAAGATCAGCTTCAAGCAAAGTGACTCACATTCGGTTTTTGACAACAGCAAATGGTGTACAATAGACCAATATACTCATGGAGTCGCCTTAGGATCTCCATTTCTCTGGCACTGAACCATTGAGGGCCTTTAAAATGAACATAAAGAAAAGTTTATTAAGAACCAGAATCTAAAAGGATATTAAGATATAATGCTTCTTGAGTTACAGGCATGCAAACCTGAGGCAAAAAACACAAGAAGTGCTTTCGTTTTCCATTTTCAAATGGTCAGAGTTGAACACAGTTTGCTAAAGTAAACCGATTTTACTAAAAGACCAACCAATCTATAAGGAAAAAGAAAATAATGATGCAGCCATCTTTCAAAAGTCTTCTTTACCCCCCTGCAATTTGGCTCCAAATATCAGGTGAAAATTGTCATTTTGACCCCCCTCTACAAAATAGTGGATTACTAAGTAAATATTCATCCATGCCATCTTAAATTATGGCTTTCATCACTATTTTTTTGTCTTTCTACAGAAAAAAAATATTAACAAAATAAAAAAATTTGAGTCAGGGAAATTTCCGAAATCTGAGAGCAAATACTGGAATATGATAAATCAACAACGAGCAGAGCAAATCATCTAGACATAGATCGTGTCAAAGTTCAGCTGAATCCCTTGCGCCATATCTTTGAGTCCTTCACATTCGGGACATCTGCCCTACAGACAGCATTCTGGATCAATGGAAATGTAACACACTCAAATGCATTAAAACACAAAGATGTGACATTTAGAGACCTTAAAAAGAGTATATTAAAATGTTGAACTTAATTGATGTTTTTAGACATTTTTCATGATGGATCTTCGCAGTGATTGGTCATGATATAACTTCAAAAGTGATTGAGCTTGACCTGTATGTTATATATTCCTGATGAAGGTCATGAGACAGAAACACAGCTAATAATTATTTTTTTGATACTTTTTGTCTTCTCTCTCTTACGCACCTATTACCAGCAGGTGTGCTATGGTTATTGTTAAATTAGACATTTTTTCAAAAATATGAGTTATCTCACCTATAGATATTTGCTCAAGCAACACATTTTTGTTTTTACAAAATGGCAATTGTATTACACAATACCTTCTTACACAAACCACACGCCTGATTTCAAGCTTTGAATGAACTTACAAAAAAACAAGTAAACAGTCAGAAATTAAATGAGAACAAATACACAAATTACTGCAATACAGATTAATCCTTACATTTAAAGTTACAAAAGTTATTCAGTCAAGAGCAGTGATAAAAACTTTTACTAGGCAACACTTTACTATTTCACTTTTAACACCCACACTAGCAAAACATTAGTTTATAACTTCGTTGCATATCAAGGGCAATTCTGAGTAGTTTTAGAGTGCTGAAAAGTCAAGCTAATGAAAAAACATATCTTTAGCAAAGCATATTACATAAATTTAAAATTAAATGTCACAACCTACATTAGCAATTCATCATGCTCCTCTGTTATTGTTGAAGGACATGATCATGAACTGCATCATTAAATATGGCACGAGGCAAGCAGCTCCAATAATCACCAACGATGACAAGCATCTCGAAAATTTCCTTGTAAGAATAGCAAGAAAAATGCATGCCTTTCTTTATTCTGATTATGCTGATCACATGAATACAGGAATTGGAATATTGTTACGACCCAGAGAATTCCCCTTACTTGGGGCAGAGCATGGGAATTTATGATTCGCTCCCCATGTTAATTGATAATTAGCTGATTAGAGTAAATAAGTGGAATAGGCAGTCCCAAATGGATAGTTTCTCTTGACCAGGATGTTATACATCTTACTGGCTTCTTTCTCATTTGTTTCTTATGGATTTCTTATATCATGTAGCTTAAAAATTGTTGTGGTTATTAAATTTGTTATTTTTTAGTTTCCCTGATTATCCCTAGACTTATTTTTATTATTATTCATGGTTATCACAGTGTTTGTTAAATTAAATAAAACAATGTGCATTCATTAGATATCGTGTCTGATGTTGGCCTTAAACATGAAACAATATCCAAAGAGCATGTATCTGTTCTTTCCAGAATTAAGGCAAACAAAATACAGACCTTAATTACTCCTATTTATTTTAAAAAAAATCTCTTTCAGTTCTTTTCTGCATTTCACTATCTAGTTTTTACTAAACACAGCATTGTATATAATGAATACTGTTGAGTGTGACAAATTGCTTTTGACATTCCACATTTGTAATTTTGGATAAAAGCTAAATGAATTACTGTAAATGTAATCGGAAAATGTTATCAATAACTAGTTTGGGCGTTTTAGACTCTATAAATGACTAACATAACCCTACATAAAAAAAGAAAACAATGAGTTCTCATGAAGACCTAGAAAGAGACATAGAAACTAAAAGGTAATGTCTGCAGTATGACTCAACCGGACACATTTCCGTAAGCAGGTGTCTTCTGTAACAAGTCTGAACAACCACCGACCAAACCAACAGAAGAGAATGTATATCAGCAAAGGTCAAAAGCTCACTAGAAAAATCACACGGTGCTCTTCAGCATGAGCGGAAATCTACTGTGGTTACATGTATTTATCTGTAGGAAACGAGACTAAGAGGTTTCCTTCACACACCACTTTATTGTGGGTGGTTTAGGGTAAGTTGTCACAACTGTGGGCGGCAGACGCTGGAGGGCAAAGAAGATTCATTTCAAAAGATGATTATGTCATGGCAGATAAATATCAAGACTATTTTGACAGTCTTCCCCTTCCCTGCATTAAAGTTTTGAGCTTGACAGCTTCAGTGAAGGAGTGTGTCTCTCTGTGTATGTCTGTGCCCTGCATTACAAGCACACAGCTGATCATAGGCGTCCCTGTTTCACTGAGGCATCGACACAAAGGCCTGATTGAGAACAAGACTCCACAGATCTGCAATCCCTCATCTCTCTTCATGTCCCCCCTCTCCCAATTTGACAGTCATGGCTTCCAACTGCACACTTTCTTATCCTAATCGGCTCAACAATTGTGGCAGTCAGATGATGTTTAATGGTTAAACCATGATCATATACAGCACTTGACAACAGATGATTCTTCTGGTATGCTCACATACTGCATTAGGCGTTATTCTGTCACTTAGATAATGAATTAACTTTACTTACAACAAAAACGCTCCATTACTTTTATTGTACAATGGGGAAACAGTGACTAGATTTGTGATGTCTGTGGAATGTAAGAGATGATAGATTGTGCATGATCACACCTGAACGCACACACCTTCATTCTACTGAAAGTGATAATGACCTAAAAATTGCAACAATTAAAAAAAATAATCGTCTGTGGCATGTTAAAGGAAATGTTCAATGTTTATTAATAGAAAGTGAATACTAAGGCTGTCAGTCACAACAATGGAAAGTCAACCCAAAAATGAAAATTCCGTCCTTTTACTCACCCTCATGTTGTTCCAAAACCTGTATGACTAACTTAGATGTTAGGCAGATTGTTAAAGCTACAGTTCAACCAAAAATTAACATTGTGTCATTTACTCACTCTTATGTCATTCCAAACCTTGTGTAGAACACAAAAGTAGATATTTAAAAAAAATAATAATTGCCAACCAAACCATTTTGGTGAAAATTTGCTTCCACTTTTTATGGCTAAAAACATTATACCTTATTTTAGTTCCACAGCAGAAAGAAAGCCATAACTGTTATAATAGGTTTGGAATGACATGAGAGTGGGTTAAAGATGACAGAATGTTCATTTTTTGGTTACTATTAACGTTACTTTAACCCTCTCCCTAACATTTCATTTCACGTTGTATTTAACTCATGCATGTTTGGGTTGAGTAAATTAGAACATAGTTTGTATCTAATGTGTCCCTTTAAGAAGCAAGTCTGATAAGGAGGTATATTTTGAAAAGGTCAAACTTGATAGTAAAGCGATACACATGAATAGGGACGGGGGCTAATCATCAAATGTTTCACATATGAAAGAATTATATAACTCTACACAAAACTTTATTAAACATTCTGGCCTCCAGTCTAACTTCATTACGGAAGAACTAGAGCAGGACAGCATTGTGATTGACAGCCGTAACATTCAATGGTGTTCCAAAATAGGATCATTAACATTCCAAGATGTTGCCGACAGCCAATCAGAATAAACGGAGGTGGGACGTAGTGGGCTGTCTGTCAGATGGCTGTAATGAGGCCCAATCCCCGGTCTAGCTGGACGGGATTCTCCGAGAAAAGTGAGGGGGCAATAGGCCAGTATGCTCTCGTGCTTGCCTCGAACATGGTTTACCGGTATTATCCCAACAATGGCCGGTGTGAAACAAAACACGAAGAACAGCCCCACAAATCAAGAATATCATACCAATGTAAAGAATGACAGGCGAATATATGTGAAGAGTTGTCTTTAAACCGCAAAGCCAAATAAGAGCACAACATAAACAACCTACCCAGAAATTTTCCAGGAAATAGGGCGTTATCATCTTGCTGTCCTCCCTTCTTCACAGCGGCGCTTTTCTTAATTTGAATTGCCTCAGTTGGCTCAATTAATCCACCGTCCTCCCCCCGATGTTGTTGTGTCTGGTGTTTTTTCCTCTTTTTTCCTGCTCTTCTGCTGGGTTTTCCTCCCTGATCTGAACACGACTCCACCTCCTCACTTGCGTTTCACCCCTTTCCACTCCTCCACTTGTTCAGTATTTCATTGAGATAATTGTTATAAAGAAACAGCGACACTGGTGGCCGTTTCAAGAATTGCATTCCCATGATGCAATCATGTGATTTTGTGTAAAACGTCCCACTGAAAAACTCAAAATTCTTGTAGACACTCTTAACTGGTATAATAATCATATGGGATTATACAAAGAGTTGTGGTAATGTTATTAGAGATGTCACTGAAAGGTCACAGTTGTAATGAGTTACTGATGTATCAATCAAATGCCTTAATTTAGGATATTTATATATTAATGGTTTAGCAAGAATATCTATTGCTATTACAGATAATTCCCCCCCAAAAAGGGCAGAACATACACAAAAAGATATTTGAATCAGTGCTTGCATTTCTAAAACAGTCAATATACTTTTATATTTCATCCCTCTGAAATTCATTGGACAAATAACATATATACTCAGTGATTTTTGAAAAGGGTTTATTCTTATCAATGTACAGATCCAAGCAGTGGAACAAACTCACGTCCATAACAATGTCATACAAATATCATTACAAAATTTCTACAGTACAATATATATTCTTTGCATGATCCAAAATATTTGGTGGCCCCTAAAAATGATTACTTTCTATATTTTAATCTTTCTTGAAAATCAGATTATAAAATAAAAGTCAAAAATCACTATAAATAAAATTGCTCTCGGACCAGAAAAAGGGAGCATTTGAGCAAAGGTTTCCTTCATTATTACATTTTCTTAATTTCCACACATATAACTATACAGCAGTTGGTGCAGACTAGGGTGGGGACACAACATTTAGATCATTACATTTTGTATTTTTGTACACAAAAAGAAAACAAGAGAGAAAAAAAAAATAAAGTAAAACAATTAGATTCATTACTGTGCAATCTCTCATGGCCGTATTTATACCCCCACCCCCCTGAAAACTTAAGTTTAACTTCCAAGGCGTTACAGTATATACTGCATTTATATTTCATAAATAACAAGTGTTCACATACATAAGGGCCAGTTTCTTCAAAATTATCCCCACATGAAGCTATATGAGTGTAAACTAACTGATTTTTATCTCCTCTAATAAAAAAAGGAAAAAGTTTACATTCTTTTACAAGGAGACATAGTGACAAAATATGCCAGTTAGAAAAGATATTCATTCACCAGCAGCAGAATGGATTAGAGTGAATCGCTCTTATTATTATTATGAAACATGGGAGACTGAACAGCAGAGAAAGGCATACGTTAAAAAAAAATAAATAAATAAAAGTAAACATACCTCCTGAGGTCTCTACAACATAAAATATTCAAGTAGAAAATTACAGCACATAGCAGCATTCATAAGTGTAAGACGACACACTTAACATTCATAATATCTGCCTACATCTTGTTTCTTGTTTGTTCTTTTCATATTTTTTGTCAGAAGAATCTCCGACCGCTCTAATCGGTTACAAATGTAAAACAGCTGGAATGTGACAGACAAAACTGAAGAAAATTAAAACACGTTGCATAAATACACCAGCACAACACAGACCCAGAAACACCTGACAGTATCCCATGGTGTTCAGATCTAAAATTATAAAACATTTCTCTGCGTACAGTACATCCTTAAAACTCGGACCTCTCAGCTGCTTCAGTTTTAATCCAGATCTTAACTTATACCTGAAAGAACCATTTCACGTATGAACATCAGTCGTGTCTGTCTGATTCTAAAGTGGCAGCACAACTTTCTTAATACCGAAAACCTCACACTCTGGGATACATTCAGACATTTTAAGGCTACTATTCACATGAGGGACACAAATGCACAAATACTGCCTCCACAAGCACTGTACTGTCCAGGATTACACACAACAACACAACGCGGGACGTTTTTTAAACTTCATGCACGAGGTAATGGAACTAAATAAAAGTCACAAAAGCAATATATCGATGGAAAACACGTCACCTATTGCGTATGTGTGGAAAAATCACATTATTAAAACTAACTTGTGGGGTGGGGGGGGGATTTCTCATTGGGCCACCAACATGCACAAATCAAACAAATAAACATCCAGATAAACCTGATCAGTCGAAACAGATATTACAAGCATCTTCAAAATCATGCTCTGAGCAAACTAAGTAAAAAGAGATTGGGGATGTCTCAAATAAACAAAATGTGTGTTTAGGGTTCAATAGTTTGGATCCATGTCAAGCCACACTGGAAAGTGAGACTGGGATATTAAAGCCTCGTACAGAGCAATAAATCAGTTTGGGCTGTTCAAACATCTTCACTGTGGTAATATGGAGTCTTCTCTCTTACTTTGCACATGCTAACGTAATTTACCAAGAAACATTTTAATAAATAATAAATAAAATGATGCAGTCATTCCTATTTTATTCCTTTATCTTCGCATCACTGCCAGTCTAATAATGTTTAAAGATGAAAACCTTTTCACTATCAATGATATGAGAGGACTTATGTTGTTACCTTTCAGACGAAGCGTCTAAAATATGGTACGTTTGGTACGAATGTTTACGGTCTACTGCTGTGCATAGCTGGCCCACAAAATATGGTCTGCACGCTTTCATGCAGTCGAGCTATACCCTACATCACCCCATGCAAAGGAACTTATGCTTAGCGTCCAGTCGAGATTTACATCACACCCACCCCTCTAAATGATACAGTCCAGAAAATAAACAAAACCTGTTTTTAAGCTTTCAGAGCTTGTCTCCAGGCACTTTCCCACGTCAGGAGTGCAACAATACCGAGTTTACACATATCTTCATGTCATTGTTTTTTTTGTTTTTTTTTAACCCCTGGATGCCCCGTTACATTAAGTGCCCTGGTGAATGAACGCTAACAACGTATTTTGTTTTCACCCTCATGGTTGATTGTTATGACATGATGAAAAAGCTTTCCTCCCTATTTTGGTTTGGCTTGGCGAGGTGTCGTCGACTAGTGCCTTAGCTAACACTTCCCTCCCACCCCATCTACAGGGGTCCAGTCTGCCGGTTGACTCCCTCCCCTGCTAGACCACCCTTCCCCCCAGGTAAAGGGCAACATATGCCCTGGGTATCAGAGGTTCCCATCCTGACCAAAAGTGGATAAGCTGAAGAACAAGAGAGAAAAAGATCAAATTAGATTCATGTTACATGTACACGTTAGTAAGTAGATATCAGTAACACTTTAAAATAAAGAGCATTTAAGGTTGTTTGGCAATGAAACGTCTACTGTTCATTGGGAGAAAGTCTGTAGAATGGACTTAAATGTGATCAAATTTGAGCTACCTTATTGAAAGTAGGGCTGTGAAATGATTAATCGCATCCAAAATAAAAAGTTTGTATATATAAATACACACACATGCATGTACAAATGAATTTTTGTATTTATATATCAATTATTTATATATAATATATATATATATATATATATATATATACAGTATATAAATGCAAATATTTCTTAAATATATACATGCATGTGTGTGTATTTCTATATACAAAATAACTATACACAGTACACGCATATATTATATAAACACAAACTTTTTAATTTGGATGCGATTAATTGTTTCACAGCCCTACTTTCAATAAGGTAGCTCAAAAAAAGTTTCAAAAAATATTTAATAATGAATATGCATGGGGTAGAGTGTGCAGAATATAATAATTAACATAAATTTTACAATTCAGCAAAAAATCTGCACAACATACTGTATCCTCTATCGTTCAAAGGTTTGGGGTCAGTAGGATTTCTTTTTTAATTTTTATTCAGCAAGGATGCATTTAATTAATCGAAAGTCCCAGTAATGACCTATAATGTCACAAAATGATTTCTAGATTGATAATAATAATAAAAATGTATATTGAGCAGCAAATCTCCATATTAGAATGATTTCTGAGGAATATATATTTAACTGTGCATGCAGGTCTATTTATATGACATTTGCTTTTATATAGTAAACATTTAAAAACAACTGCGATGAAGTCAATGCTGTATAGCCTTATAAAGAAGCTTTGACACACTCCTCTAACAGAGAGGCTAACTTAGAAAATCTAATGGAAAACTACCTCTTCAATCAGGTAACATCTACACCCCGTAGAAGGCTGCAAGTCTCTCTTTGAGTGGAAGGGGAAACTGGTCCGAAAAGCGTCTCCAATTCTCGTCTCCAACCTGGTTCTTAAACCCATGCAAGATCTAACAGGGAACACGCACTTAAGTATGAAGTATGTGTCCACAATCACCTTGAAGGTTTTCCCAACTCACACACTCATGAAATATTTACACAGCGCTCTACCTTATAGAACATTTCTCGAAGATCGTCTTTTGGGTTCATCCAGGATGCTACAGCATCACAGAAAAATATAAAGTCCTGAAGAGGGATGGTAAACAAAACAAAGAGGATCATTTTCGATTGTCAGAGCACTCAGAGAGACATCACTGAAAATATGGTGTCGTACCTGCACCACACCACCAGGGTTGACCGTGATCATGGTGCAGATTCCTCTGAACGCAGAGTCTTTTTCTTCATTGTCTCTTATATTGCGAAGAGAGGTGCACCTAGTGAAGGGAAGAACCAGTTTTCAAATAACAAGCCTGTGCGGTTAGTTTGCTTGTGGACTAACACAATCAACACAATATCATGACTATCACCTCAGAGCACCTTGGGACGGGCAAACGTTTTATATCACAGAGATTGGTCAATCGAGAAACCAACATTTTTATCTTCTTTGTAATGAAAACATTCTCTTGTTGAAACCGAAAAGTAGCTTACGGGTTTACCTGAAGAATTCAGCTTGTTGCGATATTTCCTGACAATCCCACAATAATTTTTACAGAAAATTAAAATCTTATTTTTTAGCATCAATATCATTGGTTCTTAAACATCTACCTTCTTTAGAAATGATGTTAATGTTTATAAGATCTTCAGCTGCTTTTGCGGTAAAACAACCTACTTCTTTATAAAAAAACAAGTACAACGCTTACAACAAATACAATGTCTATATAGCACCATGTATTCTGT